ATTACCGTGAGTAAATTCTACTGTCCCTACCCACAGGGAGAAAAAGAAGTATAAAAAAGAGTATATAAATATAAAGTTAATAAAATGGAAGAAGAGCTAACACTGATCTAAACAGCTATTTAAAATCGATTACGGCCAGTTTTTTTTAGAAAGATCAATAAAAAAATTAAAAGAATTCAGCAAAGTGGAGACGTGGTATAGTTGAGTTCAGTATAATGATATCTGACAGTGATTAAAATCACTATAAAAAAAAAACGCTTCGATGCAAATCTTTAGATAGTGTTTAATTTTAAGAAATTGGTTGATTATTCTAAGAGCTACATGATCTCCTACTTCCTTATTTATATCCTGAATACAAGTTTATAAGTGTAATATATGAATATATATATATGTATTTATAATATTTATGTATATAAAGGGAAATGTTTTTATTTTAAAAAAAAGTATGTTGAATGAAAGAGGTATATAAATATTATTTCTCATAAAAAAATTGTATTAATCTATACATTTTTCAAAAAGTTTTAGCATTATAAAGTTAAAAATTTAAAACATAAAATCGAGAATTTTAACACAAAAATATACGAAAAAATATACAAAAACATACGATAGCCATTTTCACTGTCAAGACAAAAAAAAGTCCGAATTTTTTTTTTCCATAATAAAGTATACTACATAAGCTTTAATTTAAAATATATATAAAAGTGTCAAAGTTTCTGGATCACTTTCAAAAATTAAGTTTTTTGTGAAAAAGTTATATATAGAATGATTAAAAGATAGAGACTATCTTTTAATTTACCAAGCCATGCCAAACAATGAATAATAAACTACGAATAGTGCATATATATCTTACACACAGATATTCAATGAATAAAATTGAACATACGGTTGTAATACATGCAGAGTATCGATATTGGATTAATTCTCAAAATATCCTCTGCCAATACTAAAAAATATTAAAGAAATTAACATAAATAATAGAATCTAAAAAAATCTAATTATAAATAATTATTAATTAAATGGTAAGTATTTTCTATCTGTAGTAAACCCCAATGACACTTTTTTGCTGAGGCTTTATTTGTAAAAAAAAAAAACCCAGCACAGTGGGGTCGCGGCATAGTGGGGATGTTGCATAGTTGGGTCCAGTATAGATTTAATCTGACAGTGATTAAAATCACTATCATAAGAAACGCTTCGATGCAAATCAGTAGATAGTGTTTAATTCTAAGAAATTGGTGGATAATTACAAAAGCTACATTATCTGCTAGTTTCTTATTAATACCCTGATTAAGATAAAGTATGTCGAATGAAAAAGGGATTATTAAAAAATATTATTTCTCATAAAAAAATTGTGTTGATTCGTACACTTTTCAATGAGTTATAGCATTATAAAGTTAAAAATGTAACCAACCCAACCCAACATCAACTCCTATTTCCTTAATTATATCCAGATTAGTAATTATTTTAATTATATATTATATAATTTTTATAATTAATTATTTTCAAATTATTATTGATTTTTAATATGTTAAAAGTAATCATTTTGAACCTACTTCTTTTTGTTCTTTAAAGTGAAAGTTTTAATAAAAAAAAAATGAATTTATTACCATAACTTTTAACTCAACTTGCAAGTTTGAAATAAATATTATTAAATAGAAAAAAATGAAATTGGTAGATTATTTCAAAAACAACAATAACACTTATTCCCTTAATTTTACCCCGATTTATAACTATAATATATGAATACATAATAATTACAGTAATTAAATTGAGTATGAAAGTGGTATTCAATAATATAATATTGTAATTTTTACGGAGATATTATAAAAATAAAAAGGAGTTGTATATTCATATACTTTTAATGCGTATACAAATTTAAAGGAATTTATGCAATACTTTTTAATAAAAAAATTTTGTTACTTATGAATAAATACACTAAACAAAAGGAACTTTCATCAGAAAAAAAATATACTTTTCTAAATAAACTTTTCGTGATGTTTTCAAATGTGCAATTAAACTTTTTCTATTACTTCTAAGTTTTAATATTATTACTTATTATTAAAAAATAAGTATTTACATATAAAAAAAAATAATTAAGAACAAAAAAAATTGTATTAAATTAATACTGATTTTGATTTTTAATATGTTAAAGGTAATCATTTTGAACCTATTTTTTATTGTCTTTTAAAGTGAAAGTTTTAATGAAAAATACCTTCTCAGCTTCGCATCGAAGCTAAAAAATGAATTTGTTACCATAACTTATAGTTCAACTTGCAAGTTTGAAATTGACATTATTAAATTGAAAAAAATGAAATTTTTAAGATTAATATGCAATCTGGAAATTTTATAATTACTAATTACAGTACATTTGTCAGAAAAATTCGATTTTTTTACATTTTTATCGTAATAGATAACTGAAATAGAAAGAATAGTAATCATATCCTAATAACTTTTGGTGTTTAAAAAAATTCTGCAATTGAAATATTCAGAACTTAATTAATTTTAATAATTTACTTTAATTAAATGAACCAATCAAACCAAAGTAGTTAAAAAGATTTACTCAATTGAGCATATTATCAAAAATATAATTATAATTGTAAAACTCCATCGTTAACTTCAGGTGAAACTAAAAATCATTTTTTTTTTAAATTTATGATTTATATAGCAAAATATTACTAAAAAATTTGGCATATTATAGACTGGTAGTAGCACACAGAAATAGAGTTAAAAAATTAATAAATTATAAAGTAAAATTATTTACTTTTGTAGTTGAATACTTTTATCATATCAAATTTAATTCGACAATAAATAATTTAAGAATATTAAAAATTAATGATTTTAATTGTTTGTATGGACAAATCTAGTTAAGCTACTTTTTATTTGAATAAGGAATATTTTTTTGATTTTTAAGAGTAATAACTTAAACTAATCATTAACTTAAATATCATAAACTTAAATGAATCATTTGACGTATCGTTGAAAAAAGTAGGTCTAGTGAGGGTTGGCAAAATAAATCGTAGCCAGAAAAAGAACCACATAGTAAAATAATATTAACATGAATATCAATTTCTTCTCACGAGGGGAGACTATAGTGATAAGATCCTTTATATTTATTGAAATTATTGAATCTAAATGAGATAAATATCAAATGATTTGAAAATTCTATTCTAACTCAAAAAAAAAATGCAAAATTTTAGAAGCCACAAACGGATTTGAACCTCGTACCCTAGGCGTTAAAGATCAAGGTGTTACCCATTCGGCAACTATTCGTTGATTTTTGTTGCATGATAAAATTGGCTATTTAAGCTAACTCAAATTTAAAAATTACTTTTTCGACTTTAAAAAAGTAAAAAATGTTAATAAGTATAATATCATATGTCTTATGAACTTTATTCTATGTCAATGAAATTATATAATATTCATGAAAGTCAGTTTATTCCCCTAATAAAATATTTTAAAATAAAATAAAATACAAAACCTAGAATTTTAATAAAAAATAGCATATTTTTAAATACGGTAGCCTTTTGCGCATAGAAGATAGGTCGTCGGGACAAATTTTTTTTTTTCATTTAGTAGTACATAAAATAAGCTTTAATTTGATATATGTTTAAAGGACGCAGTATTTCCGGAACATTTTCAAAAATTAAGTTGAAAAAGTTAGTTTTTGTAAAAAAGTTGCTATTTTAAATCCCCCCTGTGAGCAGAATAAGTGTTAGATTTTCAAAAAAAAATGATATCAAATGAAAGAAAATTACCTAAGGTTTCAATATAAAGAAATATTATTTTGATTAGTTAATATTTGAAAAAGTTATGGCAGTTTTAAGTACAAAAAACATCGTTATAAAAGGTGATTTTTATCGCAAATATTACATTTTTTTTATAATTTCGACAGCCATTTGCACATAGAAGATAAGGTGTCGGGACAAATTTTTTTTTTTCATTTTATAGTACATAAAAAAAGCTTTAATTTGATATATGTTTAAAGGACGCAGTATTTCCGGAACATTTTCAAAAGTTCAGTTGAAAAAGTTCTATTTTTTATACAATGTTTCAAAGTTTGAACCCCCCCTATATAAGGGGAAATTGTCTAATTTTAATAAAAAGTATGTCAAATGGAAGATGTACTTATAATGTATTTAGAAAAAAAAAAATTGTGCTGATACATGCATTTTTCGAAAAGTTATAGCATTTTTAAGTTGAAAATTAAAAATTGAAAATCGAAAATTTTAACACAAAAATAGTGTTTTTTTAACTACGGCAACCGTTTACATGCAGAAGATAAAGTGTCGGGACAAATTTTTTTTTTTCATTTTATAGTACATAAAATAAGCTTTAATTTGATATATGTTTAAAGGACGCAGTATTTCCGGAACATTTTCAAAAATTAAGTTGAAAAAGTTAGTTTTTGTAAAAAAGTTGCAATTTTAAATCCCCCCCCATGAGCAGGTTAAGTGTTAAATTTTCAAAAAAATTATATCAAATGAAAGGAAAATATCTAAGGTTTTAGTTTAAAAAAAAATTATGTTGATTTGTTGATTTTTGAAAAAGTTATGGAAGTTTTAAGAAAAAAAAGTGAAAAAAATGACAAAATTTGTCGATTTTTAAATTTGTAATTTTTTTGGATATTTCCCCCATTTGCGGGGAACGAGGGAAAATTTTTAAATTTTTAAGGGTAATGTCTTCAACTAGATACAATTTGTGATCTTTTGACGTATTGTTAAAAGAAATCGGTCCAGTGAGAGCTGAGAAAAAGTAGTGACAGACACAAAAAAAAAAAAAAAAAAAAAAAAAAAAAAAAAAAATAAAAAAAAAAATAAACACATCATGGTAAAATTAATACCTTCTCAGCTTCGCATCGAAGCTAAAAAAAAAAAATAAAATAAAAAAAAAAATAAACACATCATGGTAAAATTAATACCTTCTCAGCTTCGCATCGAAGCTAAAACAAAATAGATTATTGATATAAAAATAATTATAAATTATCAAAGTAATATACAAATATATTCTTATTTAATCTTTAATATTCAATAATTGTAGCAAATCAACAAAATATACAAATATTATTTACATTTACACAACTGACATACAAAAATAAACGTCTACAGGTTTTTTAGTTATTAAATATTTAGATCAATAAATAACAGTACAAAATATTGTCTTACTAATAGAAATAAAATACAGATTTATATAGTTGTCCTTATTAAACTTGAATTTCTAGAATTAGTAGTATCTTTTGAATGTGAATGAGCAACAACTACAGATAAACATTGCACCCATTCTTCAGCATTTTTACCTCCTTTTGGTTTTAATATAAGAGATTCTTCTCCAGTAAATATTTCAAATGCTTTTGGTATGTTACGTGCACCTCGGCTTACTTTTACACTTCTAATTTGATGAATATCAATAGGTGTGCCATCTTTATCATTTTTCTAAAACATTATAATAAATCATTTTACAACATATAACTAACAATTTTTAAATTTTGAATGCACATTTAAAAATAATAGAAATCATAATGTTGTAACGTCACAAATTCGAAGGTGGACCGTTTATAAATTTTGTTAGGTTTACTTATTTATTATTTATCGCGCAAGAGAAAGCATGAATGAACTTTTTTCTGACACAGCGGTGTCAACAACTCATTATTTTTGCCGTTGACCACTAGATAAGGAGACAAAAGGTAATAAATATAATTAAAATCGAATTGTTCATTGGTATTGATCCCTCTCAAAGAGACTGCCCGTTTTCATGAAAACAAAATAAAGTCTGAATTTTGTTTTCATGGTGAAATGAATGTTTACTATATTATTTTATTTTGTTTAAAAATTTTATTTTATTTTAATGCCTTTCTTTGTAAATATGGTTTTTGATACATTCGTATTTTTGTCCATGTTTAAATTAATTTTCTTTTTTTAACAATTAAATTAAATTTCTTTATTAATTTAAACTGTAATATTTATTTTATTGTGCGAGTAACTGAAGTACTCATGTATAGTTTATTCCTATTCCTTAATCTAGACACGAGCTACGGTATGTTTCACACATAAACCACTTACAACTTATCATAGATGTGGTTAATAAACCACAAGGTGTTATAATAATTTATACATATAATAACATATTAGCTTAAAATTAAATTCCACCTATGGTCCGGTAATTATATCTGATAGGTGTGACGCCTCGCCTAGGTGTTGGTTACTCTTGCTACTATAGCTAGTCATTATGCAAGTGACAAACCACGTTGTTGTTGCAGGCTGACAAAAAGCCCACTTGCAATATTAATATTCAAATATTTAATTTGTATTTTTACAAATAAATAATAATTTTCCTTACTGATCCTTTATAAGAAAGATGAGCGCCTGATAAAGTAAAGTAGCGTGTTCTCCATCTTCTAAATAATCTCCATCTACCTTTTTTTTCTTTAAGTTGACCTTCAATTACAGGTTGACTATCTTGCAAAAATCCTACTGCTCGTTCAGGATGATTACATAAAAAACACCCCCATCCACCACCATTAATACTAAAGTGTTCAAATACATCAAAATAACCACTATTTCGAAGTTCACTCAAAACAGCATCTTGATCCTTTGTACAAGGGAAAGCTGAGGTTACTAATGTTAGAAATGTTCTTGTTTCACATTTAAGAATATCCCAGCAATTTTTAAGAGCACTAACTGATGGATGCCGAGAACTTAAGGCTGATGACGATCTAGCTTGCAATGCTAAAAACATTAAGTGAATCCATACACGTGGGTGTCGAGTACGAACAACAAATAAGGCACGGTTGTACAGGCAGTGTTCTCCTCGACCTTCACATGCAAAATGTAATTTGGCTGTTTTTTTTGCTCTTCTTTCTAAAATTATAAAAAAGTTCGAGATATAAGTCCTTATAATCCTTATTTCATAATTAGTGCTAAATTTACTTAGAATGCAGGAGGTTTTTTATTTTTAATTTTTTTTAGGAATACTCAAGAAATTAATTTAATATTAAGCTATGTATATTAAATATGATACTTAAAATTATTTCAGTGCTTTACTTTTAAAAATATTATTAATAATAAAGTTTTTGATTAGCTCCTACACTTTACTGTAAATTAAAAAAAAATTTGCATTTAACTCAAAATTTCAATCTTACTGAAATAAAAATTATTATCATAGTTTTTTATTTTCCCTGTGGAAAGGGGATAAGAATACTTCCATGGCCCCTCTGCCAGTCGTAAGAGACGACTAATGAAGTTGGGTCAGGTTGACAACTGGTGTACAATTTTGTCTAATGTATAAGAAGTCTTGAACAAAACTTAGGTGGATTGTCCTATCTTGGATGTATGCGAGGACAACAGATGAGACTAAATAAAGTAGTTAGAAACGGAGAACATTAACTGGTAGAAGTATTGAAGAAGAGAAAAGTTAACATTTGTTGTATGCACGAAAATATGTGGAACGGAGATAAAGCAAGGGAAATAGGTGAGGGGTATAAAATAATAAACTCAGATAGTCAAATACAAAGAATGGTATAGGGATAATAATGGATGACAATATGAAAAGTAAAATAGTTAGGAAAAGTGACAGAATTATAATTTAAGTAGAATGTGATGAAATAAACAAGGAAGTATTTTGGAGAGAGATGGATGAGGTGGAGAATAGGGGCAAGGAATATCTGGTAATGAGGCTGTGGTAATACTTATCTAAGAAAAAGGGAAGAACATTATGTAACTTATAAGAGTGGTTGTAATAGATCATTTATTGAATATTTTATGTGGAAAAGAGAGAGTGTAAAGCGAGTAAAAGATTGTAAAGTTATATCAGACGAGAGTGTCTTCTTCTTCTTCTTCGCCTTAATCCCAACTACTTGGGGTCGGCCACCCTTATCCTAAACTTCCACTTGACACGATCTCCCACATCATTTACGTTTACATCAGCTGTCCTCAAATCGCATTCAATAGCATCCCTCCATCTCTTTTTTGGTCTTCCTCTACCTCTTCTTCCTTTAACATTCATTCTATAACTGTTTTTACAGCTTCCGATTTTTCTCTCCTCATAACATGACAAAACATAACATGACAGTTACTCGTCAACCGCCACAGCGTACGCACGTGTGTTATCTCCATTTATTCATGCTCTGTGTTCCTTTACGTATTCAACAATTATTACCTCTTATCGCTATTTTTATATCAATTTCATACCATGGGTTTATGTGATATTTGTGCCGTAAGTATTAAACGCGGTCAAAACGACTCAATTACATGTTTCTCTTGTTTGAAATTGTACCATCTTACTTGTGTTTCGTTAAAACAAGATGATCTCGACTATTTAAATAGTTTGAACAAATCATGGTCTTGTGTTAACTGTGCAAAAAAATCTAAAAATGCTATTTCCGTCGGCAACTCTACTAAACATCTCTCTTCTCTCTCTACTAATGAACCTGACTTAAAATTAATTATCAGTCATCTCGATAACCTACGCGCGGAGCAAACCAAACTTATTGATCTGATCAATGAGCAAAATGAGAAACTTAACTCTTTTGACAAAAAATTCCAAGATATCTTCTCTCAATTATCAAGTGTTAAAAATGAAAACAGTGTGCTGCGTAATGATTTGACTGCTATCAAAAATCGTGTCGATCTATTGGAATCAGCTGTTCCAAAGTCTAATGCTAATCACGACATGTTTTTTGAGTTTATTGACCGTCAAAATCGTTCTAAAAATATTATCGTTTTTAACGTGCACGAACAATCTAGCCAGAACAATACCTCAGATACTGATTCAATAACACACATTTTCAATAAACTCGGAACTGATATAAAACCCATAAAAATTAGCCGCTTAGGTAAACCTAACAATAAGCCTCGTCCATTGAAAGTTGAACTGCAAGCGGCCACAGAGGTATTTAAAATTCTCGGTCTATCACGCATCCTGAAATCCGATCAAAATCTTAAAGATATTAGAATTACGAGTGATAAATCACCGTATCAGCGAGAACTCCTTCGCGATCTACGCAACCAGTTGAGAGAGCGAATATCAAAAGGCGAGCCAAATCTGACAATTAAATACTACAAGGGTCAACCGACCATTATCTCCTCTGCGGTTCAAAAAAACTAGTCACTAATTCAAGCCTACTACTCTACTATCAAAATATTAGGAGCATAGTTTCTAAAATTAACTATTTAATCCCCTCACTCAATACCTCTCTATTTGATCTTATTGCTTTTACTGAAACATGGCTTTCACCTGATATATGTAACACTGAATTACACTTTGTTAATTACATAATTTTCCGTTGTGATAGATCGCCTCTAAATAGTGATCGTTCTCATGGTGGAGGCGTCTTGATTGCAGTAAAAAATACAATTAAATGTAAAATTTTAAATACTTCTATTAATTGCATTGAAGCAGTTTTCGTGCATTTACAAATGGCTGATACAATTTTCATTATTGGCTGCGTTTATATACCCCCTTGTTCCCCATTAATAACGTACGAAAATGTTTTCTCCGCTTTAAGTAATCTATACTCAGCCTACCCATCTGCAAAATTTATAATATTAGGTGATTTTAATCTACCATCAATTCACTGGAATCATTTATCGCTCCCAATAAATTGCACTTCTCAAGTAGATTCTTATTTTGTAAATATGTTGTCTTATTTTAACTTTAATCAGTTTAACTATATTCTTAACAAAAATAATGTAATTTTAGATCTAGTCTTATCAAATGTTCACCTAAATGTCTCTACTGATCCCGACCCATTATTACCATTAGATATGCATCACCCTGCTCTTAATGTTACTATAGATTACAATCAATTTATCATACTTAAGCCAACAGATTATTTTTATGATTTTAAACATTGTAATTATATTGATATTGTAAAATTTTTAGCCGATAATTTACCTTGCAATGCTTCTATTAATTTTAATCTTAATGAAATAATTAACCATTTATATAATTGTTTAAACGAAGCAATTAATACCTTTGTACCGAAAAAGCGTGTTTCGTCAAACAGCTTTCCCCCTTGGTATTCTACTGAGTTAAAAATATTATTATCACAAAAAAAAATTGCTCATTCATTGTATAAAAAATTTAATGACCCATCTGATTATAACAGCTTTTCCCATTTGAGGGCTAAATGTAAGAGAACTGCTAAACTAGATTATAAAAAATTTATTAATAAAGTCCAATTATCTGTCAAATCAAACCCTAAGTCTTTCTGGAAATATGTTAATAGTCGTAGAAATAATAAGTCAATACCAAGTCTCCTTACGCTCGATACAACGTCAGCTGATAATGGGCAAGATATAGTTAACTTATTTGCTAAATTTTTCTTTAAAAACTACCCTAAGCCAGACAATCTATCCATTTCTGCTCCTTGTTTAAATAATTCCTTAAGTAGTTATAATTTATTTTCCTTTTCGTCTATATTGTTCACTGAGGTCGATGTTTTAAATGAGCTTACCACTCTCTCTATCAATTACAACGTTGGTCCTGATAGCATTCCAGCCTTTTTCCTCTACAATTGCAGATTTATACTTACACCAACTTTAACACATATTTTTAACTTATCGCTCCAAAATGGTATATTCCCCGACTTATGGAAAAACTCTTTTATTTACCCGGTTTTTAAAAAAGGCGATCCCACAATTGTCTCTAACTACCGGCCAATATCAAAAATATCAGTTATTCCTAAACTCTTTTCAAAACTTATTTTTAATAAAATAAATAAACATTGTTCTGCATTTTTATCTCAACATCAATATGGTTTTATATCTAAGCGATCAGCTAATTGTAACCTTGCTATTACTAAACAAATAATACTTGACTCTTTCGTTGCTCGTTCTCAAACCGATATAATTTACACTGATATGTCAAAAGCGTTTGATAGCGTTAACCATGAACTACTGTTTATGAAATTAAAACTGTTTGGGTTCTCTGACCCTCTACTTTCCTGGTTTCGCTCTTTTCTTTCCAACCGCATTATCGTTGTTAAACATCTGAATTTTGAATCCGATAAATTTAATGTACCATCCGGGGTCCCGCAAGGTGATCACCTGTCTACCCTACTTTTTAATATTTTCATAAACGACATTCCGGATGTCATAAAAAAATCCCGCATTTTTCTCTTCGCTGACGATCTTAAACTGGTAAAAATAATTAATAATCAAGACGATGCTGATGACTTACAAACCGATATTAATAACATTCAATACTGGTGCTCAGCCAACCGTCTGTTATTAAATACCGAGAAATGCAAATTTATGCGATTTAGCCTAAGCAAAAATATCATCGATTATAACTACTCTATTTCTAATTCTAATATTGAATTATTAACCACCTTTAAAGACCTAGGCGTCATCTTCGACTCAAAACTAAATTTTTCAGCCCATACTGAAATGATAATTAATAAGGCAATGCGCAACTTAGGATTTATCAAGCGAACTTGTGGATCATTCAGAGATCCTCTATCTCTAAAAGTTTTATTCTGTGCCCTAGTTCGCTCTAACCTAGAATACTGTCCATTAATTTGGACTAATAATACCTCTAAACAGATTGATGTAATCGAATCAGTTCAAAATAACTTCCTCCGTTTCATCTCCTTTAACTTTAATGTTTATAGGCCACCTCACGGTTCCTATGACTCAATATTATCATTCATTAATCTTTCTCCATTAAAAACTAGACGCACTTTATTACTATCGAAATTGTTACATAATTTGCTCTTAGGAAATATAGACTGTGAAGAACTCCTTTCCCTCATCCGTTTTAAAATAAACCATAATAATACAAGATTCAGTGATTTATTTTATCCCGTCCCTTTTAAAACAAATTATATGAAAAACTGTCCTTCTAATATCCTTATGGCTGCAGGTAATTCTATTACCTTTGATTTTGTTTAGCATGTCTCATCTTAAGTCTTTCTATGTTACTATTTAACTTTTTTTTGTTCTTATATATATTATTACTTACAAATGTATAATGTAATTTGTTTGTAATTAGTCATTTCTATGACCTCATTGTATTATTGATACGTGTATACGCTTAATATATTTGTTAAGGACTTACGTCCGTTTATATTTAAAATAAAATAAATAAATAAATAAAAACCATCTAAGTCACGATTGACACTACACCTATACTCCCTCTTATATGCTTGTTCCTTATTCTATTTTTTGTAGTCACTCCACTCACCCATCTAAGCATTCTCATCTTTGCTACACTCATTCTCTGCTCTACTTTCTTATCAAAGCCCAACACTCTGAACCATACATCATAGCTGGCCTTATTACAGTCTTGTAGAATTTACCTTTCAGCCTCATTGGAATTCTTTTATCGCATAAGACGCCAGACGCTTCTCTCCACTTCAACCACCCGTACTTAATTCTGTGTCTTATATCCTCGTCAATACCACCACTCTTTTGAAAAACTGACCCTAAATACTTAAAACTCTCTACCTCTCCAATCACGTCCTCGCCTATTGTCACTGACCTCCTCATTTCACCTACCTCGTGTCCTCCTTTGTCAAACTCGTACTCTATATACTCTGTCTTACTTCTACTTATTCTTAAACCCTTTTCTTCAAGAGCTGATCTCCACACCTCTAGCTTTTGATTAATTTTCTCCTATTAACAATATATTGTCAGCAAACAACATGCACCACGGCACCTCTCCTTGTATTTCTCTAGTAATTTCATCCATCACTATAGAGAATAAGTAAGGGCTTAAAGCAGAACTTTGGTGCACTCCTACTCTTACCCGTAAACTTTCTGGTATTCCTCCTACGCTTTTTACCCTGGTACAAGTGCCATCATACATATCTTCTCATTAATGCCCACTTTAAAACCTCTCTTGGGTACTTTCCAAATCTATAAATACCATACACAGCTTTTTTTTCTTTTCCCTAAACTTTTCTATTAATTGCCTCACACAAAATACTGGCTCCATTGTTGACTTCCAGGCATAAATCCAAACTGGTTTTTAGATACCGATGTCTCATTTTTTACTCTCTTATCTATTACCTTTTCCCAAATTTTCATACTATGACTCATAAGCTTAATTACCAGGCGACAGTGTAACTTCACAATATAGACTGATGGTAATTGAGCTATGTAGTGGGAAGAGAATATACAAAAACAGAAAAAACACAGGAGAAAAATAAAGGATACGGTGGTGGAAATTGAAAGGGGAAAATGAAAAAGAGTTTGTATAGACGGTAAAAGAGAGGACGGTGTGGAATGTCAAGGGAGACATAAATGATGTGTGCAATAGATTTGCTATTTGTGTAAAGAGAATTTATCAGAAAACAAGGAAACTTTGTGGTGGGATGAGGACGTTCAAAAAATAATACAAAGTAAGAAAAAGCAGTTCAAAGTATGGCAGAAAAGCAAAAAGAGAGAAGATTGGAAGGAATATAAACGCTTGTGCAAAGAAGCCAAGTGTGCATTAAGTAAGGTGATGTTTAAGAGGTATGATAGGCTAGAAACAGAGGAAGGTGAAAAAGAAGTCTATAGACTTGCAAAAGTAAGAGATAAAAGGTCTAAAGATTATCACTATTTAAGGTGTAAGAAAGTATTGATAAGAGGATTCTATCAAAATCAGAAATAGTAAGAATAGTTATAAAAATGAATGTTGAAGGAAGAAGAAGTAGAGATGAGAACACAATTATCAAAAATTTACTTTTAATATTGGGCAATTCAAATTTGTAGTTAAACTGAATAATATGAAGAGTCCTGCTTCTTAAAATATTGATCAGGCTCCATGTATAATACTATACTAACCTTCTATCGTACATTTGGCAGGAGAAGGAATTCTTATAGATACTTTTTCCATGTAATTTTTTATTTTATCCAAATGTTTTTCACAGAAATGTTGCATAGTATCTCTCATAGGATATGGTTCAAAAACACTTATTCTCTAAATACAAGTATAAATGATTTTTTAAATTAATAAATTTAATGACTGATGTATATATTATAACATTTGTAGCATTGCTTGTTCTAATAATTACTACAAGCTAAGTATAATTTGTTTTAAAAGTGTATGCTCTGATTCTTAAAAGACAGCTATTGTTTCCTTTATTGTTTAATATAAAATATTAATAGTAAGTTTGTAAAAGAAATTTTAAAATGCTTTTATCAGTGCTGACTTTTGATATTGCAGAGTCCAATGTAAAACACATTTTTGTGAGGTTATTTTTATTTTTTAGTAATAAATATGACCCTTTTTTTTTTTAATTGACATTTATAAGCTTTTTAAATGTGAATATTTCTTAGAAATAATTAGAACCATTATAATAAAAATTATTAATTACAATTATTATTTTTCAAGTATATGTAAAATATTTTTTTAACTTTTTCATCAATATTTTAACAGTTAAACATCTATATAATTAATAATTTGGTTAATATTACTTGTGAAACATTTGAATTAATGATAGTCACACTTGTATTGTGATTTCGTCTTGGGGTTACTGATGAATAAATGTCAGAAGTCACATTAATTGGGTCAACATTAATACTAGGACCACTGGATTGTATGGGACCTTGAGATGTAAGACTTTGATTTAATGGTGAACTACCTGCAGTACTTAAAGGACGTGGAACAAAATTTTGTGACCGTCCAGTTAAAGTCTGACTAACTGAATTGGCTAGTGAATCTTTTGAATTAGTACTAAAATTTTATTTAAATTTAAAATATTATATTCTTATTTGACCGAATTGAAGTGATTTAATATTAAATAATTTTACTTACAAAGGAGTAGTTACTGTAACTCCACCACTGAAAATTTTACTTGTTGATGGTTTATTACGGTTAGATGATGACTGCATACATACTTGATTAGAACTTAATTTAGTCATACTTTTATGCAGTCCTCCAATAGATTCTACTCTACTACCTGAAACTAATAATAATAAATATTCTTATACTTACTTTTAAAACTGAAAATATTTAAACATTTCAAAACAAGTTAGCTATATTATATGTATTTCACTTTTTGAACATACAATAGAGGAATAGATACATAATATATGTTATGATACAAATCTGTAAAACATGGTATTATTATATTATGCATAAGGCGAAATTTTAGGATGAGTATGTGGGGTAATATGCCCCTCAACAAAAAACTATTTAAATAACGTTTATTCATGACTACCATTAATAAAGTTAGTATGGGGCTTTAGTCTCCATGGAAATATTTGTAGCCTCCATAAATTTGTGGGTAGTGAAAGAGGGACAGACAAATCAATGTGCTTTCCGTCAAGTCTATTATCCAAAATTATTAACAAAGTATGGGACTACAGCTTCACAGAAATTATTATTTATTACATTTTTGTAACGAGTAATGAGTTGGCAAGATTATCAATAACATCCCCCAACAAATAAAAATTTAGATTTCTGGTGTTGATAAGTCAGAGCTTCCTTTATTTATTATTGGGTACAAAACAGAGGTGTAAATTAAATAATAAAATTAAGAATTCAATCTGATTAATAACTAAAATAGTGAATTAAAATGGTTGTACTATAATTTTACACCTACGTAGCTTACTAACACAATACCAATTTTTTACGACATTTAACATATTATTTATTCCAATTGAAGACATTTTTTGACAATTGAAGGTGCTTTCAAAATTATCTCAATGAGGAAAGCACTTAGTTTTCAATGTATACAGTGTGAAAATAGTACATTATTCTAATAATAGTGTTTGATAATATGGTGGAAAGAATTTTGAATGTGTCAAGGAAGCCAATACCGGGTGTCAGTATAATGCAAACATATCCTACCAGATCCTATTTTATTAAGAGTTATACTATTAAAGATGTGAATTCTGCTAAAGTTCTATGGCTATTGCTGCTTGAGTAGTATATGAATACTACTCAAGCAGCAATAGAAAATACTTAGCTTAATGCAAAGTATTAGAAATTAAGAAACAGTATAATAAAAGTGTACATTAATATAAGCTTTAAAATTGATACCTGCATTTAATCGAGTCATACTACGATGGGCATTTGATGATTGCAATCTTCCAGTGCTTCTACTATCTGTCATTATTCTAGGACGTGGAGTAATGACAATCCTATTCAAAATTAACAGAATTATATACAAAAATAAAGGATATATGGAATTACAGAGTAAGAAAATTATTAATAATATACAATGTATGTTTTAAATAAATAGAAATTATTTCAATTTACACTATTTATTAGATAAGTAATAAAATAACTATAAGACTTACCTGGAATGTCTTCCATTATTATTATCAATCTGAGTTTGTCTAGTTACACTTGAGTTAGTTGGAGATCGAGTTCCTCCAACCTTGACAATTGTTACCCCTCCAGATGTCTGATTTATATGAGAGCTATAATATGTATACATTAAATTTAACTATAATTTGTAATTTGCAAAAATAAATAAATTTAATGGGGAATTTTTTTTCATATACTTCTAAAAACAATGTACAATAATGAGTATGTCAAAATGCCAGAGTATATTATTTAATAATTAATTATATAATATAAGTGCTAGTTCAAGATATTTTTAAAAGAAAATAAATTTAAAAAAAATTAAATATTTTGAAAAAAACATCAAATATAAAACTTCTTAGGACATTAAATTACTTTCTTTCTAGCTCGAAAATATAATACTCCAGCATTAAAAAAAGTATACATTTAACATTATTTAATTAATAATAAAATTTAATAAAAAATAATTATATTATAAGTTTATACAATATAGTTAAAATATGTAATTGACTCACTCTATTATACATAATTACAAGTTTTATTCATAGGTAGTAACAAGTAACTTTGTTAACTAAGCAAGAATTAATTTAATGAGCTACTTTACTGCAAGAGAAGAAACTTTTAATTAGGAAATAGAGCAATCATTGTTTTAAGTAAATACAAAACTGTTTTTAATAATTTAAAAATAATTTATTAACTTAATCTTAAGCTTACTTTGTATTACGACTTATTTGTAATACTCCTTCAAGCATTTTATCAGTAAATAATATTGGAAAACATGAACATAAAAAAGTGGCTTCACGTACTAAAATGCTTTGACTAGCTCGATCTACTTTAGGTAAATGATCCATAATAAAGTTTAAAGCTTCTTGAGCTTTTATCTAAAGTCATTAAAATTTTTTAAATAATTTTTTTTATAAAACTGTTGTTTAATTTGTGTTAAAAATTAAATATAGTAGAACTTCAATTATCTTGAATTTTTATAAGAATATTTAAAAAAATTATATATCACCATACATGTGTGTGAAATGTGTCCCCAAAAAACATGTTAATAAGCATGACGAGAAAAAAAAATAATAAAAGCATAACAAATTTTTTTTTGCAACAGGCTTCTTGATTTAAAGCAAAAGTACTTTAAAAATGTTTTTTTTAACCTTAAGATATTAACTATACATTTTTTGCAATTTGAGTATCCAAGATTCGATATTCTACTGTAAAATTAATTTTTGGATTAATATGCCTGACCTTGTTGATTTTTCCAACAGCTGATAATACTTGGGCTGCAATACATAAAGCATTGGGATTACATTCAGCAGCTTTTTTTATTTTCAACACATAATCAGATAAGAGTTGAGGTTGTTTTTTGGCCAAATTATGGAAAATTTGAAGAGTAGATGATACAGTTTGTGATGTGCATAAATATTCACACAACTGAGGTAAACTGGCTTCTAATAACTTAACAATAATAATAAAGTATATAAGTAAATTGAGTAATCAAATAATACTAGGATTCATATATAAGAAGTTTTGTACTTTGTATATTTAGTTTCTTTCATTTTTCTTTCATATTGCAAAATAATGAAAAAAAAAAACCAGTGTATGTTATAAGTATTAGGGTGGTCCTTAATCATATAAGAAGAAATTTTGTTTTAATATTTTTACACAGTACACTCTAGATTGATTCAATACTATTAAAAAGTAATGTAGGTAAAATTTGGAAGTTTTTATTCCTTGAGGGTAGTATTTGATTTTTTTGTATTTAACTCGACAACTATTACACTTAGCGCTAAAATGTATAGAATATAAATTATAGAACTTATTATTCCCTACAAAAAAAGTAATAACAATATTTTTCATAAATTCATTATATTTTGAAAAAATAACTTAACATAAAAATTTTTCAAAATTTAACATAAATTATATTTTTTTAAATATTTTAATATTTTTACTGAGTGGTTGAAATTTCATCAAATTTTCCCTTTAAAATTGGTTTTAGTAATATTTTCTAAAAAAACTTATATTATATTTCATTTTAGTGCAATTATATATCGATATATTAGAATTTGTGGCGCATAAAATCAAATATCAGTTTACTAGTACTGTTTTAAATGCTATACTTATTATTTTGAACATGCGGAATTTACTGTGATTATCCATTGAAGATAGGAATTGTTCTATTTTATTTAAAAAGAAATTTTTTTCTTAGCATGCCTACACCATATTTATGAACTTGTTTTACAAGGCGTATTTTCTGAAACCAAATTATGTCCTTCAACGGGATCAGAAATATTATTATTCAAGAGGTTTCAACAAGAATGGGAAACAATTGATAAAACAATTTTTTGCAGGTAAATTTAACAATTTTTATTTTTAACTTAACTTAATTATATTGTTTAAATTTTTAGACCGTCCAAGATTACCAAAAAAAATATCCAAAATGTGTTAGAGAAACATTAAAAAAAAAATATTAAGACACAAATACTAGTTCCATGTAGATAAATGTGCTGTGAATTTTGTAATAATTATGTGTTGATAGAATCGATTATACATTTTTTTTTATTTAATCGTAATCAATATTCATGAAACTATTATAGTTATTTTATACAATTTTTTTTTTAATATTACTTTTATAAAAAAAGATTACATGAAAATTTAGTGAAATTTATTGTATAAAAAATAGAACTTTTTCAACTTAACTTTTGAAAATGTTCCAGAAATAATGCGTCCTTTATACATATATCAAATCAAAGGTTATGTCATATACTATAAGATGAAAAAAAAAAATTTGTCGAATTAGATTTGATTGATAAAAGTATTCAACTACAAAAGTAAATAATTTTACTTTGTAATTTATTAATTTTTTAATTCTATTTGTGTGTGCTACTACCAGTCTATAATATTCCAAATTTTTTTGTAACATGTTGCTATATAAAAAAATGATTTTTAGTTTCACCTGAATTTATCGATAGATTTTTACAATTATAATCAAATTTTAAAATAAGCTCAATTGAGTAAATCTTTTTAAAAAACTTTTTTTTGTTGGTTTTTTTTAGATATATAATCATTAAAATTAATTAAATTCTGAATATTTTCTTTGTAGAATCTTTTTAAACACCAAAAGTTAATTAGAAATGATTACCATGATTTTTATTTAATTGATCTATTATGATAAAAATGTAAAAAAATCGAACTTTTCTGATAAATGTACTGTAAATAGTAATTATAAAATTTCCTAATTGCATATTAATCAAAACAATTTCATATTTTTCTATTTAATAATGTCAATTTCAAACTTGCAAGTTAAGCTAAAAGTTATGGTAATAAATTCATTTTTTTTTTATTAAAACTTTCACTTTAAAGGACAAAAAAAAGTAGGTTCAAAATGATTAATTTTAACATATTAAAAATCAAAATCAATAATAATTTGAAAACAATTAATTTTAAAAATTATATAATATATATTTAAAAGAATTACTAATCTGGGTATAATTAAGGAAATAGAAGCTGATGTTGCTTTTGTAATTATCCATCAATTTCTTAGAATTAAACACTATCTACAGATTTGCATCGAAGCGTTTCTTATGATAGTGATTTTAATCACTGTCAGATTAAACCTATACTGGAGCCAACTATGCAACGTCCCCACTATGCCCCGCGATCCCACTGTGCTGGGTTTTTTTATTATTCTTTTTCTTATTTGTTTGTCCCGAAAGATATAATGGCCTTTGATAACTATAATAACTAATATAACTTTTTTAAAGAATCTATTGTGGTTTTTTTAAATTTATTTTATGCCCAATTAAAATTATTTGAAATGAAATTATTTAATGCATTTTAAATAGCATAATTTCAACTTTCAAAAATACAGTGCTAAATTAATAATATAATATGTAATTTATTAATAAAAGTATATATAAATAATATTTATTTTTATTAACATCTTATAATAAAATAATAAAACATTAAAAAATAGCCAATGTTGGCAAAATTACTTAACAAAATCCGATATTCTATCTGATCTATCTAATCCGATTATAATAAAAGAGCTAGATGATGTCAATTTAGAAAAATTATTCGCAAAGATGAAAAATATATTTTTAGCACACCATAATGTTTAAAACTTTTAACAGAAAGTTTTCTTTTATGCTGCTAGCGTTTTTCGAGTTTAATGAAATTTTTACCAGGACTGTCCAATTTCAAAAATACCTTGCAATCTGTTGATTTTTGACCAAACTATAAGATTTTTTTTTTAAGTTTATGTGCATATTTTTTATTAATTAAATTTATAGCTATTATATTTATTTATACTATACATATTTAAATAATTTAACTATTGTTTTTCGTGTTATTATAATTTTCTAATTCAAATATTGATTCCTATACTTTAGCTGAAACAGTATAATCATATAGGAAAAGGGAGTACCTCCATCTAATGCACCCTCCATTTTTACAAAAAAATAAAATAAAATAAATTATAAAAAGTAATTTGTTCAAGTAATTTATTTATTTACCAGAAAACTTGGAACTTTATTAAACAACTGAAATATACATAAAAAAAATGTAAGTTATGCTGTATTTAGTAAAATTCCCATTAATATTAAAATAAAATCTACAGATTCGTATCAAAATGTTTTAATATGATAATGATTTTAATTATAATAGATTTCAATATTATCCTGGTATCCACTATACACCATTTCGAATTTTTTTTTTTATCTTTAATTTATATTAATCTATGTTTAATCAAAATACTTACACTAGGTTTGTTATTAGCAATTAACGAACAAAGTTGAAGTAGAGCTAATTTTTCAGTTAACTCACATAATGGTAAAAGAGAAACTAATGCCATTGCATGATCATGAATAGGGTCTCTGGTAACTTCATATATTTGAGGAAGTACACGACACAGAGGATAATTACCTAAAGTATTGTTATTATTAAGTTTTAGTTTATTATAGTTTAAACAACAAATAAATACCAACCAGAAATAATAGAATCAATTATAAGTTGTATATGATTTGATAGTAGTGGAGAATTTTCAATTGCTGCAAGAGATAAATATGAAGCCATGTTTCGCGATAACACTTTATTACCTTTATGTAAAAATTTTACTGCTACTGGAAGTACTCTTTTCATAACTTCTTTTTTGCTATAATTCTTAAAAATAATATATAAATGTTTTTAACTTAAAAATTATAGTACCAATAAAAGTTCTTAAGACATCATAAGCATAATTACTAACAAGAAATACACAGGATATAATGTCAGATGATATTTTAGCATGAGGTGGATCTTCTTCCTTCTGTGAAGGTTTAAGATTGTGATTTAAACATGATTCTAATAAGGCAACAAGAGCTTCAGCGTGTTGTTCCATTGAACAAGTCTCTCTGTTGACAAATGCAAAATTAATAAAAAGTTTATATCATTAACATTACCATATGTCTATAATTTAAACATCACTTATATATATTTGTAAAAAAAATTAAATGGTAGAATTCTTACCACAATTAATATAATTTTAATAACATTGTAAGAAAAATGATTTTATAAAAAATAAAAAAAGGACAAGTTTTTAATGAAAATACAATATACCGTATAGCAGTTGTCACTCTAGTGATACATATTTCTACAACACTTTGATCATTATCATTATTTACATAATCTGGTAAACTTGTAATTTCACAAATTACATTAATAACCTCAGATAAATCATTGACAATTGCTTCATCAGGAACTGTAAATAAATCTCCTGCCTATAAATATCATAAAAATTAATAATGATAAAATTATTACTTTATAGATTAATAAAAGTACCTTAGATAAATCTTTATAGTTCAATACTTGAGTAAATAATTCATGCATTTCTTATAAAATCAGCGAAAATAATTTCAAATCTCTATAATAAACACAAAAACAGTAATGTAAAATATTTATAGATTTAAGTATAGCTAATTTAACAAATAGAAGGTATGTAGAAGCATAATTGCATAATATTGGTGAACATTTTATTTAAAGCTGACTTAAAATTATTAATATGTTTGCAATTATTTTACAGTAATAAAAAGATAATATTCTTCAGAATACAGGGTTGAATTTTAAATTGTTATCTTTAATAATACAGATTTATTAGTAGAATTTTTTATATATTGTTGATTTTTTAATTAACATGCTAGAATGCAAAATATATAGCTTTAAAATTTTAGTTATTCTTTTTTTGGATGAGAAATTTAATAATACTGAAAATACTTTCAACATAATTAACTATAAAAAATATTTAATATTTATTCATGCAAAAAAACTTTTAATTGAATTCATCAAATCATCATATTGAAAGGTAAATTTTTTTTTACCAAGTATATTTGACTGAGGATTTACAACGCTGTTAGTTTTTTGATTGGTTGAAAACTTTTTATCTAATGACTTTTGAAATTATATTAATAAATATAAATAACTAAAGATTTGTTCCTCAAAAAATGAATATTACATGTAATATTACTACAGAATGATTTTATTTTATTAATCATAATATTATACATGTAATTTACGTAATAATTATAATCTTTGCATAATTAAAACAACAATTAGGTATACTTAGAAACTTGGAGTTTGTAAATTCAGTTAATTTACCCTTTAAGATAGAGGAGTTATGGTAAACTTTTTACATTCTTCAACATTATAAATACGATATCAGATTAGTCCACGTTTTGAAAATGATAACGGAATAAATAAGAGTAATACCTTGTATAAAGTGATGCGGTCTGGACCTTATTGAAGTATGGCATCACTGACAGAGATCACATTGATATTTAGTTATTTAAAGCTTGAACAGTTTTTTCTTAAATATAATTTTGCATAACTATTAGAATGTATATAATTTTCTCCAAAATTATATTTAATGAATTATTATAAATTTTTCTATATTATTAAATATAGACATTTTTTTAAAGCGAAAAAATTTAAATTAATTTAACCTTAAGAATTTCAAGTTGGCAACCGTGAAGCAATGCTTTTTAGTACTTTATCGTAAACAAATAAAATACCAAATGTGTGGTTGCGAGAATAATAATGCCATTATTATGTTATGTTTAGTTACTAAGTTACTAGTTACTTAGTCTCTTTTTATTTAATACTTATAAATCACAAATAGTGTTTACCTATCACAACTTGCACTGAACACAGATACGTGTCTCAATAGTGTTACAATGTGGTGATGTTATTTCTTCACTGAACTTATGAGTAGAATTACAGATTCCTTGGAAGTCTTCTCTTCTTTAAAAAAGGAAATTAGTGTTTAATTTTTTTCAACTTACTTTAAACATGGCGTATGTATAATAATTTGTTTTAATATTATTTAAATGTCGTTATCATATGTGAGACACTTAGAATGCAAGGGGTGTATGTTGCATTTTCTGATTTCGAGATTATTAGATCAAAATTTATTTTTCTATTATTTCTAATTATGTTATGTCAAAAAAAAATATAAATTTTTTTTTTATTATTCTTTTTCATAAAAAAACTCGTGTCTTATTACATTTTATTCAATTTTTTAATAGATATATCTTACACTCCTTGCAAGTTATGTTCTTCATGTTTAATTATTATTATGTGAATGTTTTATAACTATATTGATTATTCATTAGGGTTGACAGTCAATCTGAAGATTCATCAGTAGATTCTGTAAAAGTAGTTGAAAATAGTCGACATGATAAAAAAAAGAAGAAAAAGAAACATAAACACAAAAGTGATCGGTAAGTGGAATACAGTTAACAGAGATAAATATTTATACTGATGTGATCATTTTTTCAATTATTATTTGTTTTAATATATTAAAGATAGCTATTAAAAAATATTTTATTAGTTTACAAGTTAAATTTTATTTTTTTTATAAAATAAAAAATCTGTTTATATATACCTTTAATAATACAACTTTTTACCCAATAAACATAAAGTATTATGTTTTATTTAGTCAAACCATGAAATCTTAAATATGAATGTTCTAATGTTAAATCTGTTCATTAATTAATTATTAATAAGTTAATTTTTGTAGTAAGCACAAAAAATCTAAAAAAGAGAACAGTGAACCAAAAATTAAGGATAAAAAAAAAACAAATGGAGATAGTTCTCAAAATGGAAAACAAAAACGACCATCTTCTCCTGCACCATCAGATACTAATAAAAAAAAGAAAACTGATGGTACACCAGTGTCTGAAATAATATTGGTTGAAGAAGAAATGAATTTAGAAGAGTTAATGAAACATAAGGTAACATTGTTTTTGTATTATTATCTTAAATTTAGACTTTTATATTTTTTATATAGTATTATATACTTTTGTCATTTAAAAATAAAAATATATGCTGTTAAAATCAAAGGTAAGTATCATTTTAATAATATGGTTTTTATAAGTTAGTTGTTTTTTTAATCTTTAGTATTTTGTTTATTTAAAATTTATTAAAACGTAGATAAAAACAATTGAATTAGTCATTTCAGAAACTTGATAGGTAACAGATCAACTTTGTCATGTGGTAAATCATTTAAGTTTTAGAGTCATATGTATAATGAACATTGTGGTTTAGAGAAACCAGATATGTTTTAAACTATTTGGATTCTTTTATCAGTCATAATTTTTTAAATGCTATTTTTAAAATAAATCAGTTAGGATTGTATTGAAATGTGTAACATTACATGCAGAAAAACAAAAACTACAATAAAATTAAAAAAAAATTTTTAGAGTAGCTGTTTCTGCAACTGAAGTAATAAATTAAAATGTAAAATAATCAATAAATTATGTATTTTAAATGCTTATTTTTAACTATATCAATTTAAGTTACTTAACATTATTTTACAATGTAATAGTAATTATCTTTTTCAGGCATTACTTCAAGCTAGGTTAGGAGCCTATATGTCAGAATCAGATGATGGTGAAAAGTCTTCTTTTAAAAATAGAAGTAATTTTAAAAAATCCATGGAAACAATTAATTTAGTTGATGATGACTCAGATGAAGAAAAAAGACATAGAAATACAGAAAAGTATGTTTTGAAGCATATTATTTTTATTATAATATAAAGTAAAGTAAATTTTTTACTTTTAGGAATTTATCTAAGCAAGATCAAGAAATGAAAAAAAAAAATAGAAACAGAAGTGCTAGCAAGGACACTAGTTATGTAAAACTGGATAGATCAAAAAAAGAAAAAGACCGCGAACGAGATAAAGACAGAGAACGAGAAAAAGAATATGAAAGAGCCAGGGAAAAAGAAAAAGAAAGACAAAGAAAAATTAAATTACTTGAAGAAGAAAAACGTAGGGAGATAAGGCGCAAAGAAGATGAAATAAAAAGAAGAGAAGATGATCTTAGAAGAAGAGAACAGCGACGTCGGGATGAGGAATTGAAAGAAATTGAAGAAGAGGCTAAAAGAAGAACAGAAGAAGTTAGGAGAAGAGAAGAACAAATTAGACATCATGAAGAACAGCTTAGACGTAGAAGAGATCGTATCAAAAGTCCAATTTGTAATATTTTTTATACAATTTTTTTTAATATAAATTTGGAATAAATTTTTTTTTCTTTTTTAGCTAGCAGAGATCGTGCTCGAAGTCCTCCATGTTAGTATAAGTTCTTTTTTAAATATTAAACTGCACAACACAATAATACAAATTTTCTGCTACAAACATTATGATAGTAGATTCTGAATATAATTTTATTGCTGATTTTGAATCTGGCCTTAAAATTATTAGATTTAATAAAGTTCTCGAGATAATCACTAATTAGTGAAAACCATGCAAGTGCATTATAAATACTCATTAAAAAAAAAGAAAAACCACAGTAAAAATAAAATAGGCTTTGTTTAAAAGATATTTGTAAAATTTGAGGTTTGAGTCTTCTTGGTTGATTTTGGCGGTTATTTTACGTTTTATACCAGTTATTTATCAATAGACCAGAAAAAACTAACGTATTATTTGGAGTAAGCCCCATAACTTAATAAATAATGATGACATGAAATTTAATTAAACAATTTTTTTAGAGTCATATTTATATAGGATTGTGATCATTTATTTTAATTTTTAGAATTTAAGATAATTTTTATAAAAATATTGTAATAATATCAAAACTGTGCTTATCACATTTTTACTGTAACAGCAATTGTTACAGTATCTAGTTATGCTAGAAACATAAAAATAACATTTGTAAAATCCTTATAAAGTTTCCTATTGTAAAAGAATTATAATTATAAGTTTAAGCAAAAAAAGTTGTAGGAAATGAGATCAGTTTTGATTTTTGTGAAATGACATTAAAGTCAACTTTGAAGGCCACTTGTAGTTATTTAAACTTAAGATATAGATATTAAAATTTGCAAATATCTTTTAAAAATATAAGCCATTAAAAGTTTTCAATGATTTTTACTAATTAGTTTTCATCTTAAAAAACTAGGATTATCTGATAATTCTAAGGCAAGATTCATAAACAGCAATAAAATCCTATTCAGAATCTACTATCATATTGTCTAGTGCAAAAAAAAGTGTTGTAGTATGTTATTAAAGTTTTTAAAACGGCTTTTAATTTTCAAAATAATCATTGTTACTTTAATTAATATTATGGATTTTATGAATATTTTTAGCTTCTGCTAGACACAGGGATAGAGATCGTGAACGTGAAAGAGAACGAGATCGTGATCGTGAAAGGGACAGAGAAAGGTTTAGAGACAAAAGATATAATAGGAAATATGATATAAGATCTCCCAGTAAAGAAAGACATACAAGGTAACTTAATTGTATTTCAAATTTTCTATTTAATGTTTTAAGAAATTTATTTTAAATTCTATTTAGACACTGTGCATTTGGAAGAACTAACTATGCATGTGACTAGTTTGCTCAGAATATACAGCATTTTATAGTTATATTTTACAAAAAAATCTATAACTTAAAAATAAGTTATGTTATTAAAAAAATGTAATAATTAATAATATTTAAAATAAAATAATAGATACAATGTTTTTATTTTACATAGTAAAATAAAAAAATTTTATAATTATTAAAAGTTAAAAAAAAATGTGTAAATCAATGTATGTAATTCGATTATGTTACTTATACATTTGTTCATTATGAATCATTCTGTTTCATTAATGCACAATATCTATATGTATTAATTCTACATTTTAGCTTTAATACATAACTGACAAGATATTGGTTTTACTCTGCTATATCTTTTTGTCTTCATAAATTTTTATGTCATTGTATAAAATTACTGAACTAATTTGGTTCAACTTTATTTTTTCAAATGATAACATAAATAATTAACTAGCTTATTAAACATGTAATTAAGAAAATTATTGGTCGATACTTTATCAACTTTTAGTTTAGTATTGCAGAAGTTGTTAACAATTTAAAGTTATGACTGGAGGTGAGGAGTGGGTGCTGCTAGTTTTATTTATCAAATTAAAGGATATTTTTATGCATAATTTAATTTAAAAAAAAAGACATTCTGACGGCTTGTCTTCTATGAGTAATCGGTTCTAAAGTTGAAAATTATGTATTTGTTGGTGTATTTATTAAACACTTTTTTAATTTTTATTTTATTAATATATTTTAAACAATTAATTTATTGATTCTTTTAGATCACACAGAGGAAAAGATCGAGGTGATAAGTTTAAAGATAGTTTTTCAGAAGGTTTAAAACATGATGATAAATCATCATCTGATTCTGAGTAAGCAAAATGTATAAGTATAATATAAGTTTATGATTTAATCTTGTGTCTATTATATTTTTAGAATTGATGTTAATATAAATATAGCCGAAGAAGAAAATGAAGAAGAAATAATTGAAAAAAGGAGAAAACAACGAGAAGAATTATTAAAGGTAATTAAATATTTTATATTTATTTTACTTTGTTATAGTCTTATTTTTTCTATATATATCTGTAAGTAATAAAACATATTAATTCAGAGATTAGGTGCCAATAATTGTAATTTACACAGTGAGGATTCTACAAACCCATCTCCTCATGGAAGTTATGCAACTGAAACATCTACACAGCCAACACCAGAGCCACAATCTCCTAAAGAAAATAATAATGATCTAAATTCTGGTTCAATTCTCGAGAAAGATAATATCAAGTTTGATCATGTATTGAATCCTGATTTAATTAAAGGAAAATGGGATATGTTTGCAGAAGCTGATTCATTTCATGCTACACAACATGTAATATATTTAATTAAACTAATTTTTATATATAATAATATTCAATTAAACTGAAAATATTTTTTTTGTAAAACTTGCTTAGACACCTAAACCAGATGGCCTGGCAAATGGAAACAAAAGTGTTCCAGAGAACCCTTCATTAACAGATAATTGGGATGATGCTGAAGGATATTATCGAGTACGTATTGGAGAAATAATGGATTCAAGATATACTGTATATGGTTATACGGGTCAAGGAGTATTTTCCAATGTTGTTCGAGCAAGAGATGCAGCTAAAGATAATCAAGATGTGGCTGTTAAAATAATACGAAATAATGAAATTATGTAAATAAATTTATTATTTATATAAAAATATAAAAGCAAAAATGAATACATTAAATTTATAACTTTTTAAATTTTAGGCACAAAACAGGACTTAAAGAATTAGAAATATTGAAACGTTTAAATGATTCAGATCCAGATGATAGATACCACTGTTTAAGATTATTTCGTCATTTTTTCCACAAACAACACTTATGTATGGTTTTTGAACCACTCAGTATGAACCTTAGAGAGGTAATAATAACATATGAAATACATATTAATGTTATGTATATATAACAATGGAAAATTAAAAAGAAAAAATGTAAATGCTCTTGCTCACTCAAAAAAATTTGTATTTTGATAAAATCTTTGGAGTAATTACTATAGTATATAATAATATTTCCTTATTGTCACTGTCCATTATCAATCTTTTTTAATATTTAAAAATTAAATTTATAATTATCGCGATGTAATATATGCCATCCTCAAGTCAATATCAAGAAAATAAAGTATTATTATTATACAGTATTATTTGGATATTATATAATTTCCTCACAATACTTTACGAATTAGGGTTTTTAACTGATTGACTAGGAAAAATATTTTTTGGAGGACAAACCTACTAAGATAACATTGTACTAAGACAAATGTTACCTACCTCCTTAAAGAGGTGGCAAGAGAGAATTATAAAGTTTATTTTTAGGTATAAGAAAGAATTGAAAATAGATGGAAACAATGTGTAAGATAATTGAATAGTGTTATACAAAAGAACAACCATCCAACATTTACAATTTTACTTCATAATATATTTTATTTAGTTATAATTAAGATTTTTATTCTTAAAATTATTAAGATAGTTTTTAAAGTTTTTATGTAAAATTAATTTTATTACAAAAAAATTTTGATGTTAAAATTTTTCTTCAATTGATATTCTGGTTATTGTTGGATGGATAATTTTCGCATTACGTTATCCTATTTTATTCCTAAAAAACATCCTGAATATTTCATTAATATAAAATTATTTTTGAGTAAAGGGGAGCATTTGTATTATTTTATTTTTAATCTTCCTTAAAATACTTTTAGTGGGAAAATTCCTGTGTGTGATAAAGTTATATATACAGAAATTAGTAAAAATAAATTAAAAACATAAGCTAGGAAAAATTTTTAATTAAATATTAATGTGAAAGTTAGTATATTAATATTTTGACATAGTTCTTTTAGCTTCGATGCGAAGCTGAGAAAGTATTATTTTTACTATGATGTGTTTTTTTTTTTTTTTTTNAAGCTGAGAAGGTATTGGTTTTACTAAGATTTTTTTTTTTTTTTTTTTTTTGTCACCACTTTTTCTCAGCTCTCACCGTATGGATTTCTTTCAACGATACGTCAAAAGATCACAAATCGTATCTAGTCGAAGACATTACCCTTAAAAATTGAAAAATTTTTCCCTTGTTCCCCGTAAATGGGGGAAACCTCTAAAAAAATTATAAATTTAAAAACCGCTAATTTTCGAAATTTTTTCAATTTTTTTTACTAAAAACTGCCGTAACTTTTNAAATTTAAAAATCGCTAATTTTCGAAATTTTTTCAATTTTTTTTACTAAAAACTGCCGTAACTTTTTCAAAAATAAACATATCAATATAATTTTTTTTTTATAGATGCTTGATGTCCTTACCTATTATTTAGTATATATTTTTTGTATATTTAACCCTTTATCTGCCCACAGGGGGGATTTAAAATGACAACTTTTTCACAAAAAATTAACTTTTTCAACTTAACTTTTGAAAATGTTCCGGAAGGTCTGACACTTTTATATATATCTTAAATTAAAGCTTATGTAATATACTTAAATTTAAAAAAAAAAAATTTGACCTCTGGACTTGTCTTCATGGTGAAAATGGACACCGAATGCTATTTTTGTGTGAAAATTCTCAATTTTATAATTTCCATTTTTTACTTTAAAGTGCTATAACTTTTTAAAAAATGTATGCATCAATACAATTTTTTCATGAGAAGTAGTATTTATATATATCTTTCATTGGACACACTTTTTTTTAAAATCAGACTATTTCCTTATATACGGGGGGGGCTTCAAATATAAAAAATGCATATAGAAAGTAGAACTTTTTCAACTTAACTTTTGAAAATGTTCCGGAAGGTCTGACACTTTTATTTATATCTTAAATTAAAGCTAATGTAATATACTTTATTAGAAAAAAAAAAATTGACTTCTGGACTTGTCTTCATGGTGAAAATGGACACCAAATACTATTTCCGTGTGAAAATTCTCGATTTTATTTTTTATATTTTTAACTTTATAATGCTATAACTTATTGAAAAGTGTATGGATCAACACAATTTTTTTATGAGAAATAATATTTTTTAATAATCCCTTTTTTATTCAATATACTTTATCTTAATCAAGATATTAATAAGGAACTAGCAGATCATGTAGCTTTTGGAATAATACACCAATTTTTTTAAAATTAAACACAATCTAAAGATTTGCGTCGAAGCGTTTATTTTTGATAGTGATTTTAATCACTGTCAGATATTATTATACTTGATCCAACTATACCATGGCATCACTGTGCCGCGACCCCCCTATGCTGGGTTGTTTTACTTTAAAGTGCTATTTTTTATATTATATTATAACATTAACATTTCTACATTAATGTTAACACAACTTCCACTTGCTTTATTATGACGGTAAAGTTAAGTCATGTGAGTTCTGTATTTTACATAATAAATAACTTCTAACTTAAACAAAAGTATTTAAAACAATAACTTTTAAGTAATTAAAAAACAAGTCATTTACAAGATAAAATACTTTTTTTTTTTTACTCACTACACCAATTTAATTGGTGTTAATGTAATAAATATGTCAATAATGATTTACATTAGTTAATACAAAATAATGATTAAATGCTTATAGAAATTATAATAATCTATTTAAAAATAATAATTGAATTTATGGTAGATAGAAGAGTATATTTTGATTAATATTTTTTAAGGTGTTAAAAAAGTATGGTAAAGATATAGGACTGCATGTCAAAGCGGTTCGTTCATACAGTCAGCAGTTATTTTTAGCATTAAAATTAATGAAAAAAGCAAATATTTTACATGCTGACATAAAACCTGACAATATTTTGGTGAGTAAATAATGAAATTAGTTTTAGTGTTGAGATTAGCAAGACGGAATTCCAGGACTTTATTATTAATTTCTGGCCAATGTCGTTGCAAAATTATGATCATAATATTATCATTGTTTGCCTTTTGGTAATTAGGTATTACCAAGTCCAGATCATCTATGATACAAATTCTTTGGCAAAAAATGTAATTGGGTTGTCTGCAGTTCCTGCGGTTCTCAAATGCCTGGTTATAATAAATAATTAAATTTTATGTTGTTCATAAGTTTATTATTTTTTGTTTCACCTATAGGTAAATGAAAGCAAGTTAGTGTTAAAACTATGTGATTTTGGTTCAGCATCACATGTTGCTGATAATGAAATAACTCCATATTTAGTCAGCCGATTTTATCGATCGCCTGAAATTAGTATGTTTATCAAGTATTTCTATAAAACATTAATTATCTTTACAAAGTATTTATATTTTAGTTCTAGGTATCCCATATGATTTCGGCATCGATATGTGGTCTGCTGGTTGTACTATTTATGAACTTTACACTGGTAAAATATTATTTCCTGGAAAAACAAATAACCAGGTATAACATTGAACTAAATTTATCTTTGAATTTTTTTTCATTTATTTTTAATTAATTATTTTCTTCAAAAAATGAATTTGTTTGCAATGTTGTTAGTTTATTAGATGCATAAACTTTGTATAAGTGTTAAATAAAAAACATTAAATAAAAGTATTTCATAAGATATATTAACTTAATATAGAGGTAGATTAACAGTATCCATTTTTTTAGTAGACTACTGTTTTAGATTCATCCTATTTTAGTCAATAACATTTTTAAACTAAAATATTGATGTTGAAATCAATATTGGTATTAAGTAGTATGATGTTTTTTTTATCGATGGAACTATAAAATAAATAAAAATTACGTGAGAAAAGAGTAGTACTTTTATAATTATTATACCTTCTTGCATTTTGTGGTGTACAACTTATTTTATATGACTGTAAAAAAACTAATTTTGTTAACTTATTTGTTTTTTAATCATAATTTTGAAATAGGTGTATTTGATTAATTTTTCATAATTATATTTATTTTTATTATTAGATGTTGAAGTTTTTTATGGATCTTAAAGGAAAAATGGCAAATAAAACAATTCGTAAAGGTGTATTTAAAGAGCAACATTTTGATAATAACTGTAATTTTTTGTATCATGAAGTTGACAAAGTAACTGAGCGGGTAAGTAGTATTTCATACTTCTATTTAAACTATATAATTATATCTTAAACTCTTTAAACCCAATACAGTTACTTAGAAGCAGATTCCATTAGTTCCCATACATTTTTCTAAATTAAGTACTACAATAATAATATTTAATAAATAAGTATAAATTTTATGTATAGTTATGTAACTTTTTTACAATAGTTAGACCTCTTTTTCTTATTTATAGATCTACCAAAATTCCTACCTCTGTATACTGTCTGTTGTAGTTGAACTTGTGAATTTTTATTAAACCAAATTGTAAAATAATTTGAGTTAAAATTAATTTTAATATTCTTACTTTGATTATTTTAAACATAGGTTCAATGGGCTACAGTAATAATATAAGTAGTGGTATCCAATTTATTCTTTAGATCATGTCAAAAGTGTTATAAATAAAAGTATCAGTATAAAAAAAAAACAGTTTGACAGGATGCATGGTCATTATAATATACTTAAAACATTGTTGAATTTTATTATTTATAAAAAATTTTTCAAGAAAAAAGATTTAATTAAGGGTTGTTGATAATTTTGTTAAACTTAACCAATACACTATTTCATTTTTTACTCAAAACAATAATATTAATTAATTTAAATATTATTTAGTAATTTTATTTTTATTTATGCAAAGAGGAATTCCAGAATTTATTTTATTGATTTCTGGCCAATTTTTTGCTAAATTAAAGTCATAATAATGACATTTTTGTTTAAGTAGAATTATTTAGCATAATTAATGTTGTCAGTTATGAAATAGTTATTTTTAATATAATAATTAAATTTTATACAGTATGGTAGACATTTTTTTATATAAACACATTATTTTATAGGTAATGAAAATAATCCTACAATAAATTTAAATGGATTACAATTTATATCTAATATAAAATTAAATAGTATAACTACATATATCAAATTCTAATTCAATAAATCTTAAAAAAAATATCTGAAGTTTACTTAGTATTTATCGATTTTTTAAATATTATTTTGTCAATTGAAATATCTAAGCTATAGTACCAAAAAAAATTATTTGTAAAGGTCTAAACAATTTTTTCATTATATTTCTATTATATTTATAGAGTAGTAGGGTGGAATTGTCCTCTATAGCCATTACTTCTTTTAATGCTAAAAAAATGTTTTTATATGGTAACATAGAATAATTTTTATGTATAACAAAATAATGTCACATTTTATTGCTTTTAGTAATAATAAAAAAATTAAGTTTAAAATAAAACAAGTAGTTTATGAATCTTTTACAATAAAATGGTCATAAGTGGTGCTAAGGTGGTGGTCATAGAGGGTGACCCCACCCTATAATAAACTATAATATGTTATTTTAATTAAAACATAGACTCTGAAACAATTACCATTCTATATGTAGCCAGATACACTATCCATAATTACTAAGCTTCCATGAAGACAAGCTTAACTAAAATAAAATAGAGCAGCCCAACTTCTCAGAAATTTAGTGATAAAAATTCTGGTCATGAATAATTAAGAAAATTTTAAAAGTATCAGATAATAGTTTTTTCGGTGTTGATGTGTATGTGTATAACAATCTATAAGATTAGTAGGCTATTATAAAATGAATTTTAAGTTTTCCTTTATTAAACAGAAACCTCCTTTTAATGGGAATAAAAGCTCAAACAACTATTTCATTATGCTGTATAAAAATCATAAATAAGTATTGATATGGGTTAATCAAATAATATGTACAAAATTATTGATGCTTAATAATTATATATTTGCTTCAATGAGACTCAAAAATGAATGGTTTTACGCTACCTTTATTTTTTTTTTCCATAAATATACTCAGTTCATACTGAACAAATTTGGCTCAACAATGACAAAAATCACAAATCATATCTAGTTTGATCTCCAGACATCAAAGTTTTAAAAAATTTCTTTTAATCTCCCTTGTAATAAAGGGTAATGTCCCAAAAAGTTACAATCATTGAAAACAATTGATATACAATTTGATATTGATATTTTTCAGGAGCCATTATATTATTATATTATAATGTATTAATATATTATACATTATATTATTATTACATTATTATATGTATATCATTTATAGAAATACAAATTCTGGGCATTTTTAATTTTTATATTTTAATTCTATCATATAAAATATTCATTGTTATATTTTTAACATTTTTAGGAAAAAGTCATAACTATGTCGGCAATTAATCCTAGTCGTGATCTCTATGTTGAATTATTGGGTAATCAAAAATTACCTGAAGATCAAATTCGTAAAGTGAGCCAACTAAAAGATCTGTTGGACAAAATATTAACATTGGACTCTTCAAAACGCATTGGCATATCACAGGCTTTGGTACATCCGTTCATATCAGAAAAAATTTGATCAGTGCGCATAGTTTTTACTTAGACAGATATAAACATTTTATGTTTCTTGATTCCCTGGATTCAACATTTTAATGATATTAATAAAAATTATTTTTAGAACTATTTAGAGATTTTCATAATTCAAATTATTTTTCTCATAATTATTTTGTAAACAGTTTTAATTTCTTTTCATATTTATACAAAAAGACAAATGATCATTGAGATGGTTAATTATAATGACCACTATATTGTAGTTATAAATTAACAATATTTGTTAACAATAAAGTACTATTTTGAAAAATAATCAATCATATTATTTTTAACTCTTGGTTTATTTATGTCATGTACTTATTTTATCTGCCAAACGAATTCTTAGAGTCTAATAGTTTTTGTTTATTTTACAGAATGAAAGAAAATTTGAAAATCCTACAACCTGTAGAAATTGTCAAAAATCTTGTCTTCCAATTATTCTTTGGTAATTAATAAATAATAATCAGGCCCTTTGTTATATTCTTAATTTCATATTCAATTAATAATGTAAAATAATTGTTTTTTTTTAATGGATATAAAAATTTGTGGTTGTGACAACTCCAGAATTTCATTTAAGTCTGGATTTGTCGTTAGTTCCTTTTTCATAAAAATAATAATATTAAGCTGATTGAAAATTTTAAATTAATGAACTTGTAATTTCTTTGTGAGTCATTAATTTTTTCAGGAAAAAACGTATAAAAAGAAGCACTACACCAATGGCTTATGTACTAACCTTACAGGTAAAAATCAACATTAAGATTCCTTCCATAGCACTTTCCTTAGTCATTTATACTTAGAAGAATTTTAATGGGTTAGTTTTGCTAGAAATTAAATATTTTTTTAAAATATTTTTTATTACAGTAGACTCATGTTGAATCTCGAGGGGAACAGAAAAAAGTCCAAGATATCAAAAATTTTGAGGTATTGAGTTTTTTTAATATATAAAAAAGGATAATTTCTGGGAGGTTTAAATACAGTTTAATATAGTAAAAAGTTTGATATAAAAGAATTTTCTAATGGATTACTTTCTTATTTAGATGGTGTATTGGCTTATAAATTTTAGTTTCTGTGGGAAAATAATTTTAACCTAGCATTTTATGTTAATTAATCTTTTTATTAGTGCTTCTATGTTGAATCTTATTAATAAACTGCTTTAACTATTGGTTGAAAAGTAAACAAGTGAATTTGATTCTTTTCTCCTATTATAGACTAATTAGAGAAAACTTGAAAAGAATATCTTTAAGATGGGAGAAAGTAATGGTCATAAATAATTTTTTTTGTGTAAATAGTAGGTTAACACCAAAAGTAAGTAGTTTTGTAAAAAAAGATGAATAACTATTTGATGTTTACATTTGAGTTAAAACTAAAAATTAAAATTAACAGTTATAGTTAAATAATATATATATATATATATTGAGTTGACTAAAAGAAATTTAACTTTTTAATACTTATTAAAACATACTGGTATTAATTAAGTTTAATAAATAAACATGTATTTATGAGTTAAAACAATACATATTTTACCTAAATATTTCTCATATAATTAGAAACATAATATTAAAGGTTTAGATTATTTTTTTCTTAATTGTTTCTTGATGTAAAATATTTAAAGTTATTGCCTTCCTATATCATAAAACTTCCACTAGTAAAGAGGTTTTGTCTTAAATTTCATTTTAATGAGAAATATATAACATAACCTCGACTAAATATTTTAGCTTTAATTTTATCAGCTAAAGAAATGTTATAAGCTAAAAAGTATTATATTCCTAAGGCCAGCATCAAAAATGATAATTATTCCTGTTATAAATAAGTACAAGAGAAATATTTTTATATTTCAAAAATCATGTTTTATTATGTTATAAAATTTAAATGTGTATATTGGATTTGAAATTGTCAATACTTTAATAATTTTTGTGCAAGTATATGGTAATCTTATAATATACATTATTTAACTATTTAACTTTTGCCTAAGTTTACTTGTTATTTATTGTTTTAAAATTAATATTTGTAATTTTTTAACTGGATGTGATTATTATGTTGCATTTATCAACAGTTAAGTTGATTTTTCATTTTTGGTATTTATTTTGTATGTTAGTACAATATTCATATAAAGAACTTTACGTAAGCATTTTTATTTTGAGTAAAATTGAATTTTATTGTGAAGAATTGTCCCTTTTTTCTATAATAAGTAATTTTTTTTCTTGGTTCCTAAAATCAGTTAAATGTGACTATTGTGTGTAATTTTACATTAATATGAAGATTTTTTTTTTATAAATACAAGCTGATTTTTATGGCTAGTTTTAATGACATGTTGTTTTGTCATTATATTCATTCATTTTTACCTAATTTTTCAATTAGGAATTGACTAATTTTCGTTTAATTGTGAAGTAAAAAAAAAAAAAGTTTTCGTCTACATAAAATTTAATGGTTGCTGCGAGTCTGATAAACAAAAAGAAAAAAAGAAAATTTTAAAATAGTCGGGAAATTTAATTATGTTGTCCAGAATTTTTTTAAATTTGATTAAATCTTTATCATATATTTAGACTGTTATCTAAATTAAATTTTTGTCATTGTTGGGGCTAAATTTTCTATAGCGTTCTTAGTTGTACTTATGCAAATAATAAGAAAATATTAAGGTGGGGTTAGTAAAATCACACCAGCCCAACCGTAAAAATAATAAATTTTTACACCCCTTAAGTGAGCTATAAAACCTTTTATTAAAACTGACTGGAAAATCATGGAAAAGTCGGGTTTGACAATTTTAAATTTGTAGCAAACACGAGCTATCATTTAATACGGATTCAGTTTTTTAACTGAATCCGCATTAAAATTATTAAAACTATTTCACTTGTTTTTTTAGTAGATCGTGAAGAATGAAAAGTATTTAAAAAAAGCATAACTCACTTTGTCTGTTTACAGATTTCATAATAGTAAATATCTACGTGTATTATCTGATATATGAAGCTTGGTTATACTAGCATATTCAAACTCATGTGCTACTGTGTGTTGAAATTTGGTTATTCAGTGAATCTTATATTCTCATTTAACACAATAAAAACATTTTATTATTTATTATTAGTTCATGCGCCTACTGTTCAAATTATCTTTACATAGTGATTTAATTGTGCTAACAAAATTACAATATAAATAAATTAAATCAGTATACTTGGAGATTCTTCACTATTTATAAAAATTTGACAATATAAGATGTCTAAAGATTTAAGAAATGTTATTTCATGGTTATTATATAAAAAAAAAGTTAAATATATTTTCATTGATCATTGAGTAGTTGATTTTGATTGGTAATTTTATAAATGCACATGAGTTATATGAAAATAAAAACTGGCAAGATTTATTGTTGAACTATATTCCATTGAAATAGCTGATAATTTTTCATATATAGTATCAAATTAGACTCGGAAAACTTAAAATAATCAGGTAAAATTATCAACTTAGACAAAGTTTTTAAATTGTGTCTGTTTATATTTCTGTTAAGATTATAATTTTAAAAAGCTCAATTTATTAACAAATATTAAAATAGTTACCATTCAAAATAATGTGACTATTCGGTAATTTGATTTAATATAGTTTTATAAGGAAATGGTATAGCTTTTATTATTTGAGTACTTTTCAAGAAATGCTAAAGTTTTTTAAATAAATTATTTAATTTTAAAATTAGGCGTCTTAACATTCATTATTAAATCAATTTTTAGTTACATAAACAATGTACTTGTTACTAAAATGTGAATTTATGATTTCATGAAATGATAATAACAAATAATGTTAATTTTTCTAAATTATCATTCGAGTTCATAACAATCCAAATGTAGATAAAAAAATAAACGTATAACTTATCTGCATTTATTTTTGGATTTAATCTTTGCCACTTTGAAAAATGTTAATAAGTTAAAAGTGATGCTCAAAAATAAAGCCGTCCAGAAAAAAATTTATTTTATCTAAGTGTATTCAGTTCTACAAAAATATATTTTGTTCTAGGAAAGTGATCCAACTACGACACCAAAACTAAATTTCAAATATATTTTTTTCGTTGACCCCAATATTAACTAACAAATAAATTGACGTTATGCTCGTTAATTTATAGCACAGTAGACTAATACTTCAGTAAGTCGACAAATGTCCAAGTTTTGGGTAAATAACCACAGCTATCAATATCTCCTTACATTAGTAATATCTTTATAAATTGATATATTAGAATTTTGTTAGTTATTAATATTTTTTTTTTGATACTCAAATGCATAGTTGTAAAAAATACTTTTAAAAAGTATTTTAAATAATATTCAAATATTTAAAAAAAAATGTATTTAAAATACTATTTGAATACTTTTCATACAAAAGTATTTGAGTAATACTCAATTACTTTACAAAAGTTTTTCAAATACTAAGAATACAATTAAAAAAAAATAATAATGTTTTTATTTTAACTAAGTGCAAAAGGTTCCACCTAAATAATTACTAAGAGGGTAATTTGAGTANTAAATAATTACCAAGAGGGTAATTTGAGTCAAATATTAAGTACTCTTAAATTAAGAGAACTCATTTATTATTTTCGATATTTTTTGTTAGAGGTAAATAAAATTAATTATTGGAGACAAATCAGTGAAAAAAATAAATATTAGTACACGTGTAAAAACCTGTAAAGTATGTATGTCTTATTGACAATAGAGTAAATCATTTGAACCTGCAATAGGCTATTGGTAGGTTCAACTGATGTATTAAAAATAGATGTATACATAATAGCATTTAGATAAGCACAATAATTATGTTATACTATAATGTAACATATAAAATAACAGAGAATTATTCTCAATTTTCATTTTGACTGAGTTTAATTTGCTTGCTGTGTTACGGTTAGCAAATTAAAAAAAAAAAAAGTATATTAATAGTACTGAATATTAAACAGTATTAAATACTAAATAATTGTATTTAAAATACTACTCAGATACTTTTTATTAAATGTATTTAAAAATACTATTCAATACCAATGAAAGTATTTGAATACTTTTATTCAAATACATTTACTCAAATGCTTTACGCCTTTGCTCAAATGCATTTCTAGACTCCCATTTCTTCGTCCATCAAAAAGTTCTTACTCTGCATCGCTATTTAAGAAAACTCGAATAAACAAAAAAAATAAGGTTATCAGCTGAACAATGTAAACATTGCCAATCATTTCGAGGAGAGGGTCAAACCTTAATCCTTTTTAGTTGCAACACTACACTAGGGAAAGTTTGAAAATAATTGTTTTTATTAAAAAATATATATACCTGAAGAAAGGGAATTGTCCATGTTATCGATGAAAAAAAATTTGTTTTAACTTCTAAATTAAAAAAAAAATTGTGACAGTTTTGAATAAAAAAAGTTTAAAAAAATGTCGAAATTTATTGATTTTAAAAATAGTAATTATTTGGTAATTACCACCGTTTACAAGAAATTAGGGGAAAATATTCCCTAAATTTTTCAACTAAATACGATTTGTATTCTTTTAATAGTATCGTTGAAAAGAATCTAGTGAGAGTTAAGTAAAAGTAGTGATAGATACAAAAAAATAAACTCATCATGGTAAAATTAATACCTTCTTAGTTTTGCTTCGAAGCCAAAAAAGGGTTGAAAATCAACTTCACAAACTAGATTACGTTTTTAGAACGGCTTAGAAAGCCTTTGACTTCATGATGAGTTTGCCCTCAAAAAAAAAAATTGTAATTTTAGACAAGAAAAATGCCTGACGACTCATTTTTTAGGAATAACTAATTTGAAAACGAAGACTACATCTATCGATGACCATTAGCATAGTGTCAAAATTATGACGTCACACAATTCTTATCATTATTATCAAACAGTGGTGGTTACAATCAGAATTGGTATTGTTAGCATTTGTAATATTTTAGTGGTTGACTATGGATAGATCGATTTACGATGTTTTAATATTTTATTGTTGATATTTTTTGAAATACTATTTCCAAGTATATTCAAGTAATTTAATTTTTTTTATTTGTAACTCGACGTAATGTATGTGTATATTTTTTCAAAATACTAAGATTAGTATATTCTAACATTTATAATTGATAAATTGTTATTACAGATGAATGTTAGAAAGAAGATTTTACCAGTTATTTGTTTAATGTCTGCTTATATTCATTGGATCAAACCACGGTTGCTTTCAACATCTGCGTCTAAAAGTGGGAAATCTCTGCTTTTACATCTTTGTGCCCGTTCTCGGTTTCTCATTCCTATGATAGTTTTTACTGCATTTTGGATATTTGATGCACAAATGCAAATTGAAGCCACAGTTAGTTTAACATTAAGTCGTAATGTACGTATAACACTTGGGCCAGATGTTGCACAGGCTGAACTAGATGATGACAATAATGACCCTGGTAATGATAGTGATGAGACATACTCAGTTGACTCATTTTCTGATGATTACTCATCTACATCAGATCTAAGTATGCTTGCTTTAGATGATTTAGAATCTGCTCTACAAGAATTTGTTCAAAGTGATACTATTCAAAGGATCTCTAATGGGTATGTTCTCTTATAACATGGCTTCTTTATGGCTAGACTTCTTTTTTTGTAATTTTCTTACAATCACTTTTGATTATTACTATAGATTTTTAACAACTTTTTCACAACCATCTATTACAGTTAAATTAGTTGGTGATTATATATATAATTATATATTTTATGTGAAACCATCAATTTATATCATATATAATAAGTTATGCAACTTACTGGATAATGTAATGTGTCTTATGTTTTCTCAAGCAACTTTCATAACTGTAATGTAACAATTACAATACAAATTAGAGTATTCTTTATCTATAGATGTCAATGTTTATATTTTATCTTTTGATAATATAAACATTAAACTTCGTTTAATTAATTATAAAACTAACTTTAGTGAATTTTGAGATTTATAAATCAACTCTTTCTATACTTTAACGAAATATAAGTTTGACAATATATTAGTTTTTCAATTAAATATTGAATTTACTGTAAAAACTATTAACATAAAATATAGACTTAAACAAATGATAAAAATTGTCATTAATTTGTTATGACATATAAATTGACAGGCATTTTAAAATTGGGACTTGGTCTCTTCAATTTTAAAATTAGTCTTTCCAAATTTTGAGAAAATCTGGGTGTAATACAAAAAGAAAGATGTTAAATGTTAGGTAGTGTTATTAGTACGAGTTACTCTAATGATTTTACTTTTTAGGTAATATCTTAGTGATTTAGTTATTTTTTATATCAAATATCACATTTCTTACTAAGTTACAATTATCTAAGTAATGGCATTGAGTAATGTATTAATTCATAAAATGTTTATTAAAAAATGTATACTTAAATTATGGGACGTCATTTAGGAGGTGCAACTTGTTCTAGTCTAATTATTATTACATATTGGAGAAGTTCGACCTATATGAGCTGAGCTATTCTGGGTTATTTTAATGCATATTTTATTAGGTTTTATAGAAAACCTAATAAAAATCCAAAATTTAGTTATAAAAATAAAATTCTATTTGATAAGAAACAAAAAGAACATTTTTTTATCAATAACTTTTAATAACTTACACAATTTTATTTAACTCTTCCAAAATAAAATTATATATAAAAGCATTATTTGTGAAATAATGGATCTGTAAAAATTGGCGTAGTCTTGTATTATCTGAAAGGACGCCCCTGATTATACTGCTCAACTCTTTACATGGTCAACACCATTTAAAAATATTTGAATGAGTGATAAACCATACATAGGTCTGTAAAATTATAGAAATTTGAGAGAAAAATTATTTTGTCTAGATGAAATCTGAATATTTACTTGACTTACTGTATATGAATGTTACATATGTTTTCACAGTAAATGCAATATTTAATTAAATAATGTGGAAAACCGAAAAACTACCCTCTTATATGAAACAAATATAATCATTTCTATTCTAGTTATATGAAATTCATAGATCCAATAATCACTTTTTTCTTTTAAAAATACTTATTATAAGTTAATTTATTACTTATTATTTTATCTATTGACCTATATTGTTAAAGTTGTTAATTTGTAGATTTTTACACTTTGTTATATTATCAACCCTTTCTATATATTTATGCAGGTCTAAGAATTTTATTAATGTCAGCATGTGTACTTTGTATTTTTAAAATTGTGCTTTTTCCCATACTGCAACTACTTTAATAGTTATAAAAGTGATAGCCTTCAAAATGTTAACTATTTATTTTAACTTTAATTTCAAATTTGTTTTAGAAATGCTAATAATGATTCATAATATCAATAAGTGAAGTCATATTGGACAAGAAGCATTACTTTAATTTTTAATATGTTTTCTCTTTAAATAATAGAATGTTATGTATTGGAAAACAAAATTTTCTCATTTTTTTTAAAGGTAAACATTTATACTTAATAATATTAAGTATTTTTTTCATTTATATTAGACTGTGATTACTGTAAACATTATTTATGAATACATGTATATAACTTTTTTAATTTATATAATTATTCATTATAATTATGTGCTGTTACTCTAAATTTAACAATAATGTACATATATAATATATATTTTTATAGTGAAATAATATACATTAAAAATTAACAGTTTTAATTATGAAATATTGAGCACATATAAATTAAAAATAAATCATAGTTCATATTCTGGTATATGTTTCTGATTTAATTCAGATATAAATAAATTATGTAAAATTAATATAAATATACATAATTTGTAACAAAATAAAGACTGATGTATAACAATTTGGCAGTATTTTAAAGTTTGAATTATATTTTTATTCAATATTTATTATTTTATATTGAAAATATAAAGTAAATATACTTATAATAAATATACAAAATTATTTAAAATATTTGTGTAANTATATATATATATAGACATATATATTTATAAAAAACTAATATTTAGTAATTTTATGATCACATCAGCTAATTAATTTGCAGTTTAGTTATTTCTTTGGTTGAGCTCTGTATGTGGTTGGTTCTACAATTGTAATAAATTCTGAAAAAATCATATAAATATTAATATTAAATTAAATCTAGAAGATGTTTAAAATAATTTATTACAGTATAATTTTTAAATCAACTATATTTATTATTTTTTCATGAAACAAATTTAGTATAATTTAGGAAGTTGAATCTTTTACTAGAGGCAAAAACTGATATCTAACATTTTTGTTATACTAGAATTAATTGAAGATAATAATTAAAATTATTGTGTAAAAAGATGATATAATAATTAATTTATTATAATCAAGCTTTGAAATATAATTTTTCTTTTAGTTTTTATGTAATAAGTTTAAATACGTTAAATTTTTTTTTGTTCAACAATATGGCTTAAATAACATCTACTTACATTTATTTTTTTGAAAGTTTTTAAATATTTAAGTATGTTTAATGATTTTTCAAAATAATTAATTTTTGTTTTATAAATTAAAAATAACTTAATGTTTTAAAGCAAAATTAATGGTTTTACTAAGTCACCTTATCTACAATTCTTAATCTCTTCACTAAACTGTCAATTAATAATATCCTTTATATTGCACAAAAGTAATTTAATGAGTATACCAGTAAAATATTATTATCATTCTGTTCAACTTATTATTTATGTAACTTATAGTTATATAAGTAATAACTAGTAAGTAAGAAGCAACAATTATTATCAGTTCGTATAAATACAAAATAAACATTTCAGGTTATTTTAAACTTATTTTGAAGTATTAAACTTTAATGCAGATATCAAATTTTATATGTATTACTCAATAATAATTAATTTGTCAGGACATTACCACTACCAAAATCTAAAGTGAATCACTTAATTAATTAAACAATAAAAATAATGTTGGAATTTTAGCTTTGATGCGAAGCTGAGAAGGTATTAATTTACTATGATGTGTGTTTTTTTTTTTTTGTGTCAGTTACCACTTTTTCTCATCTCTCATCGAACCGATTTCTTTCAACGATACGTCAAAAGATCAAAAATTGTATCTAGTCGAAGATATTACCCTCAAAAATTGAAAAAATTTCCCTCGTTCCCCGTAAATGGGGGAAACCTCAAAAAAAAATTACAAATTTAAAAATCCATTTAACCAAATCAATATAATTTTTTTTTATAGATGCTTGATGTCTTTACCTATCATTTGGTATATTTTTTTTATATATTTGATCCTTTACCTGTCCACAGGGGGGATTTAAAATGACAACTTTTTCACAAAAAGTTAATTTTTTCAACTTGACTTTTGAAAGTGTTCCGGAAAGTCTGACACTTTTATATATATCTTAAATTAAAGTTAATGTAATATACTTTATCATGGAAAAAAAAAATTTCGGACTTTATTTTATCTTCACGGTAAAAATGGCTACCAAATGCTATTTTTGTGTGAACATTTTCGATTTTGTATTTTACATTTTTAACTTTATTATGCTATAACTTGAAAAATGTATGGATCAATACAATTATTTCATGAGAAGTAGTATTTATATACAGCTTTCATTCGGCATACTGTTTTTTTAAATCGGACCATTTCCCTATATTTGAGGGGGGTTCAAATCTAAAAGATGCATGTAGAAAGTAGAACTTTTTCAATTTAAGTTTTGAAAGTGTTCCGGAAAGTCTGACACTTTTATATATATCTTAAATTAAAGCTAATGTAATACACTTTATTATGGTAAAAAAAAATTTCGGACTTTATTTTGTCTTCATGGTGAAAATAGCTACTGTATTCAAAAATATTCTAATTTGTGTTAAAATTCTTGGTTTTGTATTTTATTTTATTATAAGGGGATTGCACTGATTTTGATAAATATTATTTCAATCTAATTGACATAGTATAAAAAGTTAAACATATTTAAATTTTTTTGTTTCTTTGAAGTCGAGAAAAATAACTTTAAAATTTGAACTAGCTAAATTTCTTTTTTTATTTAGTGACGAATGCGACGTACGGTTTCTGAGACGGTAACACTTGAGTCTTTCACGCCTGATGTACTGAATTTTTTCTTAATTCTTTTTGAGTTAGAAAAAAATGTTTAACTCATTTGATTTTTATCTCATTTAGATTCAATAAATATCAAGAATCCCATTACTGTAGTCTCTTTTTGTGAGAAGAAATTCATATTAATATAATTTTACTATGTGGTTTTTTTTGTAGCTATCATTTATTTTCTCAGCTCTCACTTGACCTACTTTTTTGAAAAATANAAAGAAATAAGAGTTCATGTTGCTTTTAAAATATTTCACCAATTTCTTTTAATTAAACACTATCTACAGATTTGCATCGAAGCGTTTCTTATGATAGTGATTTTAATCACTGTCAGATATCATCTATGTTGGACCCAACTATGCCACAACCCCACTGTGCTGGGATTTTTTATGTTATTTTAAATTTCTTTTAGTTACATATTTTTCATAATTTATCAATAATGTACTACTTTTTTATGCCCAACCCTTGTATCTTATAAAGAACTCAACTATATTTTTCTAATAGTGACATACATAATTATATAGCATATTTATTAGATAATTATCTAATTAAAAAGATGTTAACTCGATAATAACTTTTAACCAGTACTTCAGTTGTTATTAACAATTTAAAGTAATAACTAGAGATATGGCTCAGGTGCTGTTATATTAATCACTAGAATTTTCGGCTGCACTTTTATTTCCGTCTAGACATAAGAAGGAAGGTTTTTTTAACTTCCATTGTATTGGTTCTAAAGTTGTTATAGACTCGTCATTTTCCTAGTTAGATCATTATCTAATAAATAAGCTAGCTATAGGTTATGGAATAGAGGGAACGCCATATAGTTGGGACAAGTATATGTTCTATAAGTGATTAATATTACTATCATAAAAATCGCATCAATGTGAATGTGTTAAATCGTACCGTAATTTGTATGTTTATAATTTTACAAATCCTAATTGTAAAAATTGTTGATTTGACAGCCGACTTCTCACAATTGAATAATCTTGGGATGCATTTTTTTTTTTTTTTGGTATATTTTAAGAGCTTTAATTTTATATAGATTAAAATAGGGCAGACGTTTTGGAATATTTTTAAAAATTGAGTTAAAAAAAAAGTTTTGAATGAGTGGAGGTAATCTCTTTCAAACTCTTTCAGTACTTAGGATATGTATTGGATTTTATCAAAAATTATACGTAAAAAATATTATTATCTCTTTTTACTCTAATAAAATTTAATTTGGATCAGTGTTTTAAAAAATATTTGAGTTAAGTTTGTATAATTTTTAAGGGTTTTTTTCAAAATTTGACGTTGATAGGTTCAACTAGGTTAAAATCAGGTTATTTCGATACTTAAATCTAGTAAGAACTAGTAAGGCAACTAGTAAGAAAGGAAAAAAATTCGAGTGACCTCGGTGTTTTAAACTAGGGGTTTTAAAGTTAATTTATGATATAGTTTAAAAAATGTAATTTATTGATAGCTATCAAGAAATTAAAAAATTAATTTTTGTTTATAACTTATTTAGTATTAATGTAAAAGTAAATAATTTATAACTATTTACAATCTTGTACTTAATAAAATTATTTATGTATAAATGGATCGAGTTTTCAATCACATTGTGTTTTTTTTGTCATGTTCTAGTAAATCTAGAGTAACTTAATCTACCAGATGGAGAAGGATACTGAATAGAGAAATGTAATTAGCCCTTTCAAATTTTATACTTGTTAGTTACTAGCCATTCGAAAATCAAAAATTTCTACAAAATGTATACAATGTCTATAGAATATAGACCTTTTAATTTTCGTAACAAAATATGTTATTAAAAATAATCTATAATTCTACAAGATCACTTGGATGATCGTAATAATCATTTACATTGATAAAATGAGAGACTGACCGATTTGAAATACAATTGTTAATATATTGTGTTTTCAATATTTAAGAAATTCTTAACGCTATCTATTATTATTTAGGATTATTTTCCTTATTATTATTATTATAATTTTGACTTGTGAAAAATTCTTACATTATAATAGTTTAACAATTTTGTGATATTATTCCAAACATGTCTTAAATATTAGGTCAGGCCATGACTTAGACGGCCTGGGTTGTAGTTTCGTCTATACGAATAACAATATAACAGTTTTATTTTATTCATAACAAATAAATGGAAAAATAACACCTACAGAAAAACGTGAGAAATGAATCAAACCTGCGATTAGATCAAATTTCTAAATCGAAAATCTAAAAATAATTATTTTTCTCCTATAAAACTTAAAATCTATTCAAACACAATAATTAACAATTCTTAATATGTGAAAGTTTTTGTTACCATTCAAGTTAATATTTACGCTGAAAAGTATTATTTTAATGAAGTTTTTTCAATAATACTAATGGCATTTGATCACAGTATACTGTCATTAAAGTGCCACTTTAGTATACTGACGCTTCTATGTACTGGCTACCTTTATATTTATACATAGTTATCTCTATACATAGAGATAACGAGTAATATATACATTGACGGACGAAGTACATTTAAATTAATTAATTATTCAGCTATTTTTTGTACTTTGTTCAACATTATTTTACCAGGGAAGTGTAGATATTATTTTTCATTGCTACTGTGTATTGATCATTTTTGTACAGAATCATTTAGTTAAATGTATGAAAAAGAAGCTGTAATTAAAAGGGGATATCTGTTATTTATTAATAAAATGTACTAAATATATAACTATATATTACTGAACTCATATGAAACGTGTACATAAAGCAAACGACAGCAATTATAACAACATGTTCAGCAGTAGCGTCAAGTGTGCTAGTGGTTTGTAAAATTCTGTAACTCGTTAACAACAACTGACTGATGTATGTTTGAAAGTTACGATTATATCGTTAAAATGTTATAAAACTTATTTACCAGAATCAGTCTTATAGGAATACTAATATTAATTGAATATGTTTAAGTATCTACACTATATATATTTTACACTGACCTTATATTTATTAAAGTCTGGTACCTCATAGATCATATCATATTGTAGATCATATCATACAAGAAACGGTTTTTTACAAATAAATAAAAATATGTTTTTGACATCATAGTGCATTGTTTGTTCAACTGTGAGGTATAAGGTTGATATTTATAAAAAAGACTTTATATGAAAATGAAATTTGTATTCACTATTGTACTAGAGTGTACAATAATTTTGTAAGTAAGGCCTTTATTAAAAAAAAATAAAAGACAAAATATTAAATTAAATAAGTGTTGCTAAAGATATTGTATAGGTTGATAAAAATGTTCTTTCACAATACAATTTATTAAACTGTTTTTTTTAATTGCAGAATGTGTGAATTTTCGGATAAAATAACAATTTTGGATATATGCGTAGGTTGTTTTGAGTTTTATAATTAATAATGTGTTACTCTTTTTTTTATAGAACAATTTTTTTCGTTTTAATTAAGTTCATAAAAAGTTTTTCAAATCAAAATTTTGACACTTAATTAATTTATATCAAAAAGTGTATTAACAATTTGGATACAAAGGAATTACTACAAGTTAAAGAGATACAAATGAGAATAAAAAAATATATATTACTGAAAACGAATAGTACAAATCAATTTTTATTTTTTTTTTGTTATTGGATAGGTATGAATAATTTTAACTTTTTAGTCGTATAAATGACAGTCCTCAAATAAATAATTATTTGATTGAAAAATCAATAATTAATTTTTTTTTTAAGTATTTTTTATTTTTAAGAAATTGTTGAAGAGTATTTAATTAATTTAATTAAGGCTGTAATATGTAGCTTTTATTTCATTTTTGAATAGTCTGAATAATTTGTTTTATAAATGTCGCACAATGTTAGCTTAGGTGAAATCTTGGGAAATATAGACGGGGCTTAATTTCTTATAATTCTGTCGCATTCCCTCAAAAATTATAAAAATTACAATTAATTAATGGTGGCCAATATTAAAATTCAGCGGGGCTTATGATCTGAAGAAGTGTGTATTACGAAAACTTTTTCAGAAAAAGAGAACTTTTAGATTTATTTTCTTTTGAACGGAAGAAAAAAGAAAAATAAATTACATGTGTGATAAATGAGACTTAAGTCATCTATTAAATTGTGAAGCTGAGTCATACAGAAATAGATAATTTGAATAGGTGTCGACCGTAGAATACTTAATTGGTTTATGTGGAAAAATATGTCAAGTAACAATCGAAAGTGTTAATTAAAAAACAATATAGGAGTAGTTGTTACTTTTCATTTGTTAAATATTATTACTAATATTTTTATTAATATTATTTAGGTTTAAATTGAGATGAAATTTGATATCTGAAACTAGGAATCAGGTATTACCGCTAATTAATTTTAATTACGAATTAATTTATTTAAGATTATATCTTTTATGACGTAGTAAAGGTAGATAAATTGGAATTCTCTAGAGTGACCTATTAAATGAAAAGGGATATTATGTGGCAAAATGTCAAAAATAGCTGTGTATCGGCGTCTCCACAGATTAGTTTCAAAGTCATCTGGAAGTTTTTAGGGTAAAATTCCTTAACATGTCATAACCCACTCATTTTAATTTATTCGATAAATTAAAACGATAAGCGATAATTTTGACAAGAACTCAAATATACGTATGTCACTTTACAGTAGATGAATACATTTTTTGATAAAATATTTTTTATTATATACTTCATGACTAAAAAGAAAGCTGTTATTTTATTATGAAAAATTTATTTTTGCTAATTAACCGTGATTTCAGCATCGAATCACAAAATTAAAAATATGACATAAGACTTTATAGTTACTATTATCTACTAAACGTATTATTAAGTGTGTCTACTTAATAAGACACGCAGTTTCAATAATAGCTATATAATTCATACGACGTGAATATTCTTTGAGATTGTTAATATAACTATGGTAACATTAACATTGTATATTTATTTATAAATAAAAATACATTTTTAAGATACTTGTGAGCAACTCTATGATTCTGAAATTGACGTGTATAATTAATTAATAATAATAAAATGCAAAGTGAATCAAACTTAATTCCTAATTAGGGAAAAGGTAATAAACAAAGGAATAAGAGGAGAAATATCAGTAACAAAAAACCAGTTTGGTTTTGTGCCTGAAAGTCGACGATAGAGCCAGTTTTTTGTGTAAGACAATTAAAAGAAAAGTAAAGGGCAAAAGTGTATGATTGAGTACCGAGTTAGGTTTTAAAGTGAGTATTAATGAGAAAAGGAGTCCCGAAAAAGTACACTAATATGATAGAGGATATGTATGATGGCAATTGTACTAGTGTAAAACGTGTGTCGAAGTAACAGAAGATTCTAGGGTAAGAGTAGGAGTACATCAAAGTGATGCTTTAAACCCTTTATTTCATTTTAATTTATTTTCTATAGTGTTTGATGAAATTACTAAAAAATTACAAGAAGAGGTGCGTGTTGTTCGCTGATTATATAGTGTTAATAGGAGAAAATAAAGAAGAAATTAATTAAAGGCTTGTGGTGGGAGATCAGATTTTGAAGAAAAGGGATAAAAAATAAGTAAGACTACAACAGAGTATATAAAGTACGAGTTTGACAAAGGAGAACACGAGGTAGGTGAAACAGAAAAGATCGGAGATTAGTGACAATAGGCGAGAACGTGATAAGAGAGGTGGGAAGTTTTAAGTATTTAGGATCGTTTAGGCAAAAGAACAGTGGTTTCAACGAGGATGTGAGAAACGGGATTAAGTGCGGATGAGTAATGTGGAGAGAAGTATCTGATTTGTTATGCGATAAGAGAATTCCAATGTAGCTAAAAGGTAAGTTCTATAAGACAGCAGCGAGATCAGATATGAAGTATGGTTCAGAATGTTGGCGATTGACAAGAAAGTAGAGCAGAGATGATATTGGATAAGGAACGAACATATAAGAGGTTTGAGTTCAAGTTTAAGATAAGGTTGGCCGACACCAAGTAGTTTTGATAAAGGCGAGGAAAAAAAAGAAGAAGAAGAATCAAACCTAATTCCGGATTTAAATTAAAGCTATCTGTTGGTTTCTTTTATGATGCACATATTAATACGTATTATAGCAGAGGTTAGTTTTTAAGAGGCATAGGGTTCAAGCCCTAAAAATTAAAATTATTAAATGATCTAAACGTTTTAAATAACACATACAATTTGTAATAATATTGAAATTATAATAATTTTATTGGCTTCACAAATAATTTTACTATGATGTGTTTTTTTTTTTTTTGTTTTTTTTTTTATGTCTGTTGCC